TTTATCATTCATTATATAAACATGTTTTTCTCTTGAACTGTTTGAGAGTAGGTTGCATACATCATTCTCCTTTACCTCTTAATATTTGAGCATTTATTTCCTAAGATCAAAGATATTTTCATACATAACCACAGCATAGTTTTCAAATTCAGGAAATGTTGATAAGAGAATCTTTATCTGTTTTGTAGCTTGTGTTTCATTACTTTATTAATTTTCCCAAAAATGTCCTTTAAAACTTTTTTCTTGAGTAAATGTACTGCATTTAGTTGCAGTATAATATAGAATGTAGGAAATGGGGACTGCCCTCCTTTTAGTTGTCTGCTGCTTGCCCATCACAGGCTCAGGTTACGCAGGCAGTGCTGTGTGCTCAGGGCACCACGTCTGTGGGCACGTGCCCTCCATGTGATGTTCTCTGAGTCTGCTCGGGTCAGGGTGTTGTCCTGTCATCTCCATCATAATACTGTTTCCTCTGCAGTAATAATTCCTTTATCACCATGGAAATATACTGCTTCTCATCAAACTTGCCCCTCTTCAGTAGACAAAAAAAATTTAATTGTGGTAAAAACATAAAATATACTCTTTAAGTGTATGTAGTTCAGCAGTGTTAAGTACATTCATATTGTTGTGAAGCAGATCTTCAGAACTTTTTATCTTACAAAACTAAAACTTTGTACCCATTACTGTACCCATTATGTAACTCCTGTGAATTTGACTACTATAAGTGGAATCATACTGTCTTTTGTGATGACTTATTTCACCTAGCATAATGTTTTCAAGGATAATACATGTTGTAGCATGTGACAGAATTTCTTTCTTAAGTCTGAGTAATACTGCATTGTATGTTTATCCATTTGTAAGTTAATAGGTATTTGATTTGTTTCCATCATTAGCCTATGGTGAATGCTGCTATGTATGTGTGTGTGCAAATCACTTTGAGAACCTTTTTTTTTTTTTTTTTTCGGTTATTGGGTAAATACTCAGAAGTGGATGTGCTGGCTTGTATTTTAAATTTTTTGAGGCATAGATGTACATTGTATTTTATTTTTATAAAATTTTCTATTGCACGTAGCTGACTATTGAACTAATTTCATTTGACCTAACAACCAATCTTGCAGAGATGCAATGTGAACCAAAATCAGCTCGCTTATGATTGAACCTATTGGTAATTTAAGGAGGGAGGTAGATGTTCTGAAAACATCTGCTTGAAATGAGTACCTCTAGATATTTTTAAAAATGGGTTAATTGCATATACTTTTTTCCTACTGTAGATTTTTATAAGAGAAAAGAGTTTTGAGAGAGAGAGGATTCCCTTTGTCTTTCTTTCATACACTTGATTGGAGGGAGGTTTGGTCCAAATGGGACACTGGAGTCTGTCTCAACTAACTTGCCTGAACTTCTTTTCTGATGATTTGTTTCACATCTACATTGGCTGAAGATTGTTTTTCATAGTGATTTTCTCTTGCTTTGACACAAAGTACCTATTAAGCCCTAGTATTGCCTAGAATTTTGATACTCATTACTCCAAGATTACTAAGATGATCGCTCGTTTTAAACTAGTTCTGAACTAGATTCACGGGAATCTGCAGAAGTAGGGCAGGGAGGTATCCTGTCTACTTTATATCCAAAAGCTATTTTTAATTAAGCCATAATACCTGAATAATTTTCCTTTAGAAGATTTGGGTACTAAAGATTGGAAATGGATAAGAGAATGAGTTGTTGCTAATGTGTTAATAAGTATCCTCATGCTGCACAAAGAAGGGGAGGGGAAAGAGGAGAGATAGTTTGAATCTTTCTACTCAACTCTTGAAGTATTTGTAAAAAGTTCTTTTGGAAAAAGCTCATGCAAGGGATACTAGTATGCTTTCTTCCTCTCCACTGATCATTAAAATCTTCCTCTGCTGAGGTCACTCTTTGGTGAGCATTCACATGGGACATAAATATCTTCACCTTAGAAAAAGGTAAAGCAGATATACTTGTTAAAAATTTAGATCCTGTGTTCCACCCTAGGAGAGTCTTCACATTCAGTCTTGGGGCAGGGCTTAAGAATCTCCCCTTTCAAACACCATTGAGTGGTGGTGTGTTATAGATTTCCCCAACTGTGTTTGAGAAATTAGATTTTAGGGTTTTTAGGAGACCATAGTTTTGTTGCTACTTTATATTCTTATTAAGGTTACAGTTTCATTAAGTCATTGGCTTTCACACTTAAGCATAGTAACATATATTTTATCTGTGACCCCTGTATATACACATATACATGAGACAGATGCACTGCAGTTAAATATATTTACACTTTAAAAAAAATTTAAATCACAGACATGACTCACAAAGTTGATTTTGCAACCAGCCTTTCCACACTTAGTTTGAAAACAGCCATGGTATTAAGTGTTGTTCCTGGAACCGTAACCAAAATGATCACTAAGATGGAGTAGGACATTGATGCCCTTTTCCTCTTAATTTATTGTTCTGGTTCTTTTTGGAAGTTTTGTTATCAGTTAAAAAATATTTGCCAATCCACTACCCACAATTACTAGTTAGGCTTCTTTTTTTTTTTTCTCTCTTTTTTGGCCTGCAATTTCCATTATCATTATACAATTAAGTGCCTCCCTATGTTATTAAAAATATGTAATACTTGTATTATATATGCATAAGAAGAAAGGCAAAAAATCTAGTGGGGAAACTAATGTTCTTATTAAAAACTCCATGAAGGTGGACATATCAGATTTCACAGCTTATTTGATATAAACAGCTTTAAAGTAATTGGCCAGATGATACATGAGACATAGAAAGGATCTGAAACTCAAGTAAATTATTAGTTGAAAGTAAGATCAAATTACTTGAAAAATGGTTAACATTTATTGACCTATTAACCTCCCTGAATTCTCTAAGGTAGGAAATAGTGCTATTCTCTTTTATACAAGCAAAAACTGAATTTAGAGGGGTTTAGTACTGCCTGAGAATACAAAATTGTTTAAAAAAAAAAAAAACTAAGATGATTGCAGTTTAGTTATCCCTAATGAAAGGAAGAAAATTTGTTCTCTTCTCAAATATGAAAATAAGTGAAAGTATAATGGGACAGAATGATGGCTTCTTATACAAATTAGGGAATTCTGTTGTTAATACAAATAGTGGTCTCACCTCATTAAATTTTCTATGTAGCTCCAGAATAAAACACAAAAATACTTTGCCTTCCTGTCATCTTGAAAAAGTGTTGAGCACTTATGTATAAGGCCAAATACTCAAAGTACGTTGCGATTAAGTAGTCAGGAATCAAACACTTGGGTACAAAATGCTATACTGGAACAGAAGGTTCTTTAAAAAATTTTTTTTTTTTTTTTGTATTGAAGTGTACAGTTGAAAGCTAATTTTGCAAAGTCTGACATAGTGAGGAATTTGTTCTTCCTTTGTGGATTAGCACAGACCCAAACTTGATCCACCCTAGGTAAAGAAGGCTTTCCTCTTCCTTTGTGGCTTATATTTGCTAAAAGTTGCTGGTTTGTCATAGTCAAGCTAACAAAAGACTTCAGGAAGAAAACCACTCAGGCCTTGGAACCAAATATCCTGGTGTTGGCTCTTCCTGTATCCCTGCCCAATTTTAGGTATCTGTAGCCCTAAGAACTCAATCTAAAGATTTCTTTCCAATGAAGAATTCAGTACATTTTCAAGGACATAAGGATGGTTTAGAGAATTGAGAACCGAGACTCATCCATTCTCCAGAAAAACATCTATAAAAACATTTGCATCTAATAAAGTCAGGGGTTCTACCTGACTATTTGAAGCCAGTTCTTGGGTTCTGCGCACTTTTGCTTTAGAGGATTGACATTAGAACTATATTGTGTTTAATACTGTTTTACTCAATTAGTGCTTAAAATTAGCATGTTAACATGTACTTGATGAAATTGGTAGTGTGATTTTATTTTCATGTGCAGGATTCTGAGTAAATATCAAGTTTAGATGTAAGGGTTCTTGATGTTTAGCTCAGGCATATTAAACCACAGTAAGTCCACCTGAGAAGCAAGGTTATTTGACCCCTGTTTTATTAGAAATTGATCATTGTAGAGATTTTTGTTCTCTACCAGTGCTTCACAAACTCGGTTTGGATCTGTAAGGGAGTTTTGAAATCCATTTAATGCATCTGACTAGCATCAAAACAAATGAAAATAGACCAGAGTAGAAAAAAATACAATTATGTATAATATATTACAAGTTTAAGTATTTAGTGATGCTTCTGCTCAGTTGTGTGCATTTCTGTATGTATGCGTGCACATATACATGCATAAACATTGTATTGGATTGCAATGTGAAAATATTTCTTAATGTGGGATGTGATTTTAAAAAGCTCGAAAGCCATAGTTCTACAGCTCTCTGCTTTTGAGGTTACCTATCCTTGGGGATAGGGTGGGGTGGATGAACGGGCTGAGCTAGGGTAGAACAGTAGAGAATCAAATACCTGTGAATTTTTAGGGTTTAAACAATAAAGTTGAGATAGGATTTTACTGATTCAATATTTTGGTGTTGGTAAGGGCAAATTTGCTTTGTGAAGCTTTTATTTTTATTTTTTTCTTAAAATTTGTGAAGCTTTTAAAAGCTATTATATAACCAGAGGAAAATCCATATACTACACATTTATAATTGCATTTATTGGACGTGTCTAGTTGAGAGAGTGTTACAGCAAATGACATTAAATATTAAGCTATCTGACAGAATCGCCTTACTGATTCAAGACTGAAGAGATCTATTTTAAATAACAGCAGCTCTCATGGCATCTCTTAGAGCAACTATTGAGTATTTCCTGTTGAGTATATGCCACAATGTAAGACCAAACAAATGAAATGGTGTGCGTTGGGACTTTTGTGGGGAGGTCCAACTGTAGGTTTCGGTTTGTTTTTTAAAGTGAAATAGCTTTTCAAGAAAGGTGACATAAACAGTAGGTGGTCTTTCAAGACACGGGATTGTAGATACTAACTTAATGGCTTCTTTTTTTCCTTTCATTTCTTTCAAAGGTTTGGGCCCCATGGGATCCCTGTGACAGTATTTCCCAAAAGGGAATATAAGGATAAACCCGAAGCCATGCAGCTCCAAAGTAATACATTCCAAGAAGGGACAGAAGTCAAGCGTGAAGTGAATGGTGCTGTTCCCAACGACCCTTCTCCTGTCCCGCCTCCTGAGCTCAGCTTGGCCGAAAGCCTGTGGACTTCCAAACCACCACCTCTCTTCCATGAAGGAGCACCTTATCCTCCCCCTTTGTTTATCAGGGACACATATAACCAATCAATACCTCAGCCGCCTCCCCGGAAAATTAAGCGACCCAAACGAAAAATGTACAGGGAAGAACCTACTTCAATAATGAATGCTATTAAACTACGACCCAGGCAAGTTTTGTGTGACAAGTGTAAAAACAGTGTTGTTGCTGAAAAAAAAGAAATTAGAAAAGGTGGTAGTGCAAGTGACTCTTCTAAATATGAAGATAAAAAACGGAGAAATGAAAGTGTAACTACTGTGAACAAAAAACTGAAAACTGACCATAAGATGGATGGGAGAAACCAAAATGAAAGCCAGAAAAGAAATGCTGTGGTTAAGGTTTCAAATATTACTCACAGCAGAGGCAGAGTAGTCAAAGTTTCTGCTCAGGCAAATACATCAAAAGCTCAGTTAAATACTAAAAAAGTGCTCCAGAATAAAAACATGGATCATGCAAAAGCTCGGGAAGTGCTGAAAATTGCCAAAGAAAAGGCACAGAAGAAGCAGAGTGAAACCTCTACATCCAGAAGTGCGCATTCAAAGGTCCATTTCACACGCCGATACCAGAACCCTAGCTCAGGCTCTCTTCCACCCCGGGTTCGTTTAAAGCCCCAGAGATACAGGAATGAAGAAAATGACTCTTCTCTGAAGACCGGGCTGGAGAAAATGCGAAGCAGCAAGATGGCACCCAAGCCCCAGTCCCGTTGCACCTCTACCCGCTCAGCAGGTGAGGCCCCTTCAGAAAGTCAGAGTCCCTCCAAAGGCCCTGAAGAGGCCAGCAGTGGGGTTCAGGACACAACTGCAGTGCTTGTGCCTGGTGAGCAGGAGGAACCGCAGACCCTGGGCAGAAAGGGCAGCAAAAGCAGTATCTCTGTTTACATGACCCTAAATCAAAAGAAATCTGACTCTTCCAGTGCTTCAGTGTGTAGCATTGATAGCACAGATGATTTGAAATCCTCCAACTCTGAGTGTAGTTCTTCTGAAAGTTTTGATTTTCCTCCAGGCTGTATGCATGCACCTTCCACCTCCACTTCCTCCTCTTCAAAGGAAGAGAAAAAGCTCAGTAATTCCTTGAAAATGAAAGTCTTTTCCAAAAACGTCTCTAAGTGCGTCACACCAGATGGCAGGACCATATGTGTAGGGGACATTGTCTGGGCCAAGATCTATGGCTTCCCCTGGTGGCCAGCCCGTATTCTTACCATAACTGTGAGCCGGAAAGATAGCGGCCTTTTAGTCCGACAGGAGGCCCGTATTTCTTGGTTTGGGTCTCCAACAACATCTTTTCTGGCTCTTTCGCAACTCTCCCCCTTTTTAGAAAACTTCCAGTCACGCTTTAATAAGAAGAGAAAGGGCCTGTATCGCAAGGCTATCACAGAGGCAGCTAAGGCTGCCAAGCAGCTGACCCCTGAAGTGCGGGCTCTGCTGACACAGTTTGAAACGTGAGCGTGGACAGTAAGGTAGGCGAGAACCTTGGGAGGCGCCCAGGTTTTCTAGTCTAGCGAGGGGTGACTTCTACAAGACAGCTCGGCCAAACCCGAGAGAGACTGCACTCAGCTGGCTGCTTTTTTATACGTAACCTTATAGCCATTTTTAGACAGAAGCTTAAACTGAACAAGCAATCAAATTTTGTCTTTAGGAAAGGAGATTTTAGCAGTATTTTTCAGTTTTGAAGTCTAAAACCATCCCAAGGCATAGGAGCCATAGCCTGAACTGAAAATGAATTTTTGCAGGGACTGTTAATTGCCATTTGTACTTAGTACTGTGTGTATGTGTATATGTATACACACATGTACATGTATGTGTGTACATAGATGCATACATATATAAAATATCACCTGTCACTGTGTGACACAGGTTGCATATCTGGGATCTTAAGGGCTGGTGAGCTGGGGGGAATAGTAAGGATATTTAATGACTTCTTGTTTTTTAATTAACCAGTACTTTCTATGTGCACAATGGCACAGGAGTTTGATACTTGGATGTCTGACAAACTGCGATGCTTGCTGTTGAGTTGCAGACTGGGGAAGCAGCTCAGTACTGAGGATTAAGACTGTAAAGGCTGGCTAGGTCTGAATCATCGCGCCCTCTCTCTTGTCCAGTGGGGACTTAAAAACTTTCAAACTTCTGGTTTGGGAGTTTAGATAGGTTTGTCTTTGGATATGTAAATAGTTGATTGCTAAATTTGGTCAGATTTCTCCTGACTGACTGGCTGTTCCTAAATTCTTAGGATACGTCCCGGTAAATTACACTTTGTGAATTAATTGTCATATATGTAATTGTTGCATTCTGGATGTACCTAGTTTGATAATTTTTAAAAAAAATTTCCGTTTAAGGTTATCTGTTTGCAGGTCAGAAAATGAGAAACTGTAATTGTGTAATGCTTTGAAATGTAAAAAAAAAAAACAAGCTGTAAATAAAATCGACTAAATCCAAATTATTTGTGTGTGTTTCTCAAAAAGCTTTGAAAAATTTCAGGATGGTAGAAAATTATTCTTTGTAATAGTATATAGAGAAGATGAAAAAAAAATCACCTATATTTGCCCTATCAGGGAATATATAATCTGAGCATAGATAAAATTCAAATGAGGGACTAATCAATATATTCTTTAAATGAGGTTTTGTAGTTTAGAGGTCTGATAAGCTTCTAGATTTGAGCCTGTCCTCCAGCCAGTTTCTCATAAGTACATGGGTTTTAATTACTTCATATTTAGCTTTAATATTTCATCGCATGCTTCATTTTTTTTTGGTTTGTTTTACATTTGGGTAATTACAAACTCTTTTCTGCTTGATCTCTTCTGCCTCAGGTATCATTGCTTTTGGGGCTTGTAACTTAGCTAACTATTTTCTACATGGTCCATCTGTCCCTAAGATTTGATCTCTTATTTTCCATTTTTAGCTTTTGTATTCTTAGTGAAAAATCTGATGGCCTTTTGGAGGCAAGTTTCTCCCAATATTTTTAAGTTGGTTTCATATTGTATGCATCCAACTTAACCTTTAAGTATGATATAATGTCAATTTGACACTTTTGGAAACTTGGGACTTTTAAAGAGAGCAACTTTTTGTGGATTCCTAAGTAATCAGTTTGAAATACTGTAGTTCCTATGGAATTATGAAAGGATTTTAATGGAGACTGAGATCAATAGTCTGTCAGCTTCCTTAAGGTAAGGTACTGATTTCTACAAGTAGAATTTCTTCTGGGGAACTCAGTCAATGCTTTTTGATTATAATAAACACACAATTTAAAAAAAGATGTTTCACTTGAATAGAACATATTCTTTCCTGCAAACAGAAATAACTAGTATTTTTTAAATTCTTTGATTATAATAGGCTGAAAGAAGTTCAGTGTGACTGAGGGGTTTTAAGGAAGTATCTTAAAGGTTTTCAGAGTATTTGTTTCAGATTAGTGAATTTGTTCATTCAGTTGTTTTTTTGAAAGTTTCACATCTAAGGTTTAGGAAGTTTTAAACTAGGCAAAGTCACCTAAGTTATGTCATTCTAACGTCTTGTGAAATGATCCAGGTGAGTTTTATCCTAACATGTTTTTGACAGTGGATATTGCTAATGTAGTCAAGTGCTCAGGCAAATGTGCTCTTGTGGGATAAACTAAATTTGTTTCAGAAGCCATGGGGAAAAGAAGAAAAAATCATGATTGTTGAATATAAAAGTCAAACTTAATTTGATACAATCCATACCTTTGAGGAAAAAGTTGAAGCATAATCACAATTGTGCATGATCTCTAATCATGCCAAGTAAGCCCTCAGTTTTAAACCAGCAGTCTGGCATATTTCATCTGAATTTTCAATAAGGAAACTAGTTTGAAAGAAATTCTGTAATCTTTAAGATGTACTGTATGTTCTAAACACTGCATACCAATAGCTGCATACTAAACAGTGTTTTATTCAAAGAGAATTTTTTTAAGCAGCTAAGATATATTTATCCAGGGTCCACTGTAGATGGAGATAGAATTGAATTGGGTAATTGTAGTCATTTTTAAGTTTCTTTTTAATGACAAAAAAGAAGACACTTATCTCTGTCTTGTGCTTAGTCGCTCAGTCGTGTTTCTTTGTGAACCCATGGACTGTAGCCTGCCAGGCTCCTCTGTTAGTGGGATTTCCCAAGCAAGAATACTGGAGTGGGTTGCCATGCCCTCCTTCAGGGGATCTTTCCAATCCAGGGATCGAACCCAGGTCTCCCGCGTTGCAGGTGGTCTCTTTACCGTCTGAACCACCAGGGGAGCAATCTTTCTATGAAGACAACCAAGTGGGTATTTTCCCCTGTGCAGAGAGAATACTAGGCTTAGAATACTAGGCCAAGTCTCTAGTGGTCCAAGAAGACTGGTTAGAACAAGATTAGCAAAGGTGAAAAACTAGGCAAAGTAAAAGCTGTGAAGGCTAAAGATGTCTATTTCTAGAAATCTTCAGAAATGTAAAGCATCAGAGTGTGTTTTAGTTTTCTAGAATTTATAGATCAGAAAGGGTCTGGTTTAAATTTGGAAGGAGCTTTTTCTAGATGTGGAACCAGAGATCTAAGTTATCAGTGAAACAGAAAGAATTCACTCGTCTGAAGCCCATTTGTGGGACTTGACACTGTCCCTACTTGGATATTATGAGTAAAGTTTATAGTAATGAGTAAAAAAGACAGTAGGAATATAGATATGAGGGTAGACTGCAGGCAAAGGAATATGGAACTTAAAAATCAACTAAATGAATATATACATTAAGTCTGAATTTCTTATGTGAAAATAATGAGTTGCACCCCTATTTGAGCCGGTGGTACTTACTAGTGGTTATGCTGAAGAACACATTTACATTCCTTTATATACATATACATCCTTTTTATATAAAGTAACTGAGTTGGGAACTGGAATACCTTAAGGAACCAATAATTTGGATCTAAAATTAGATTTTCTCTTTTAAGTTGTTAATTTCTCTACACTCTGTGCTGCACTGGTTCACATTTGTTACTACTCATAGCAGAGAAGAGACTGGCAAATGTCTAGAAAAGTTGGTAATATGTAAAGTCAGGACCGTGTTCTGATTTGTATCCAGTGGTGGTCTCCAGTAGGGGATTTGCCAGAGAATTCTGAAGACCCTATTTGTGAGTTGGGACAAATTTACTTTTTTCTTTGGGACTATACTAGTATGGTTGATATTAAAACAATTAAAATGCCTGATAGAGGGAATTCAGAAATAGAACAGGAGGCTGGTGCCATGCCGGTTGTCAGGAGAAATAAAACAGCTAAGCTGTCTCAATTACTTTCACCTCGTTCTGACTTAGTTACTAGGCTCTTCCCACTCTGTTTGCTTGTGTATGTTTACTGTGTACCTGATTTCAACAAAGAGTGAACAGAAATGTTAAAGGATGAAAGCTTTAGCAGTTACAATCCTAGGGATATAGATGATATATGTATTTTTAGTTTTCCAGGATGTCTTGGTGTTTTTACCATGGAGAGTTGACACTGAGATGAGAAGAGAAACAGCTCAGCTCTTTGTTTACCTACTCAAGTAAGAGATTTAACCTTTGTAGACTCAAACAGGGCCTTTTTCCTGTTTACTTTTTTTGTGACTGTAGGTGGAGCTCATTTCTTTTATATTAATAGAGCATTGTAATTTGCTGGGATTTTATTTTTTTGGTATTTAAAAACTCATTAAATATACCTAACCCAGTTTACCATTTTAAACAGTTCTGTGGCATTGAGCGAATCCACACTGTTGAGTAGTCGTCACTACCATCCATCTATAATTTGGTTTTGGGTAGCAGTCGTCTAAGGTTGGATGGCATTGTTCTGGCAGCCTGGTTTCCAGCATTCCTTCCTCACCAACCTACAGTCAGTCCTGCACTCTGCTACTGGTGCCCACTTTTAAGAACTATAACTACCTCTTGGTAAAATTTTTAAGAAATTTTATTTACCAGAGTAGGTTTTGGGTTAAAACCGTCACTTCCTAATGACAATTTTGTGAATAGGAAAATCATTTAAATGATTTTAGTACTGGAATTAATTAGTTTCCAAAACTTTGTTTACATGTCATCATACTCTTTACCATATTTTCATAATATGGGTACTGTTTTTACACTTTTTATATCAGGACTACTAATGAAAAAAGATATTCTTTGACATATGTAGATAATTCTGTTTGGAATTCTAAGATCATCTTGTTTACCACACTCTGGTAGGAAATACTGAATTTTTATACCCTGTCTTAAAATCCATCTTGGATAGAGTCAGGTTTTAATGCATCTAATTAATCTCTGAAAAAAAACTATATTGCCAGACTTGAATTTTTTCATACGATCCTGTGTCATGCTAGCATAAAGACTGGTTGTGGGGATCTGTAAAGGAAATGAAACCAGACTCAGAAGTTAGCAGGATTTATCAAAAGAGTGAATTTCAGTCAAATTCTCACTGTTCACTGAATAAATTAGATGGCTGTAGTATATGCAGTCTAACTTGTGGGCCTTTTGCTTTAGACATTTTGGTTTGTGAAACAATTTCATAAAACTTTGATGTTGAAAACTGGCCAGTTCTAAAATTACTTGTCTTTAAGCTTAGTTTAAACATAAATATTCTTGTAAGTTTTTGATATTTGTTAAGATCTCATTAAAAAATAAGTTGAAAACACAGCCATTATTTAAGTATGGAATTTTCCTTATAAGAATGTGACAGTTAACTTTTTATTGACTTAGAAATCTTAGAGTGCTTTTATTGCCAGAACCATAATTAAACCTCCTTATGATTTTTTTCTACCCAGCGCAGCTATCTAGAAGTAAAACTAGGTACCCCTAGTTACATAGCCAAAGTGTTATGATGGTTGTATTATAATTTTTTTCATGTAAGCTAAAAAAACTTGTAATTATAATGCACATCAAGTTTTAGCAAGGGCTTTTTGTTGTTTAAATATTTAAGATAATTTTGTAATCCTCAGTATCCCTCACTTAGTTGTCTGCAGCACAAAGATTTGCTTAAAAGCTACCGAAAAAGCTTGATAAATGTGCTGCCTAAGTGAGCACAAAAGCTACTGAAAAATCTTGGAAGGAGTACATCCCCTTCCTACCCCCACCCTGTTTCCCCAGGTACTTTCCCTATTATACTTTATCATAGGTACCCCCGCCCCGCCCCCGCTTGCCTGGGGAGACTTCATTTTTTTTGAAGAAATGTGAGAGGATCATCCTGTTGAGTGTAAATGATAGAAATGGATACTTATAAGAATATAACTTGCCAGATGCAGGTGAGCTGGAGTGTTTGTTAACATTTTTGCACTAATAGTGCTTGGTATCAGTCTTTTAATTGAGCAAAGGATCGTTCTTTTTCACTTTTCAGGCACATGGTGGAAAGTACAGGCTCTTGAGCTAGACTTCCTAGGCAAAGCCTGACTTGGATCTGCCACTTCCAAGCTGTGTGATCCTAGGCAGGTTACTTCAGTGTCGTGATCTGTGAAATGGGGAGAAAAATAGTACCTCTTCAAAAGGTAACTGTGAGAATTTAAATGATCAATGCAATAAAGTGCCTGGCCTTAAGACTTAACATTAAATACTTGCTGTTATAACTACCACTTTCTGTATGTGGCATAGAAATTTCATTCTGGTAGCTTTGGATAGTATCTTTCTGCAACATACATGCAGTATAAACTTTTTTTTTAAAGTGTTAAATTTTCTTGTCTGAAAGTGAAAGTGAAGTTGCTCAGTTATGTCCGACTCTGCAACCCCCGTGGACTGTAGCCCACCAGGCTCCTCCAATCCATGGAATTTTCCAGGCAAGAGTACTGGAGTGGGTTGCCATTTTCTTATCTGAAAATCCCACTAATCACAGTATGATCAGATACCTAAAAGTGGAATGATCTGAATAGTCTCAACAGTCACCTGTGAAGAACAACTAGGTTGGAGGTCATGGAGATTATAGTGAGAAGTCCGTGAACAATGCAGCTCTTGAATGAGGAAGAGTAACTGTGCTTCAGACATTTGTGTACTAATGACCAGTCACCATCTCAGAAGGCCTTCAAAGGCATGAGCAGTGTCTGAGCTGGCGGGGTGCAGTGGGGCAGAGGTCCTCTTAGGAAGACTTTCCAAAGGCATTAGAACCACAGAGGTATACTTGTCAGCTTTTAAGTAGCATAAATTAGCGTTTTTTGGTTTTCTTTTCTTTTCCTGGAACCTCAGTGTTTATTAATATTTTGCCAATTGGTAAAAAAGTGGACATTAACTTGAACATTCCTTCTTAGTGCCACTGGTATGATTGAGTAGGAGATTGTTTCCCATTTCTAGCAGGGAAATACCTCACATTCCAAGGCCTTGATCTGTGTGTGTTGTGGTTGTCTTTTCCAGAGGGTAGTCATTTCTATCCGCAGCTCATTTTTGAGGTGCTGTTGTTTACCAACCTGTGATTTCCCCTTACCATTTAGTTTTTAGCAGGGAGTCCAGCTGGGAGTGGCACATCTTGGTGGGAGTCTTGGAATGCTGGGAAGAACTATGCAGTTTGTCTAAAACCCTAAAAAAGAACCAGTTAGAAAAACAGCATTGAGGCTGAAAAACCAGAATGTCTATTGTAAAATGTTTTTCCTGGTGGTTCATGTTGCATCATGCTACACTGTATTAAGAGAGGCAGCAGGATGTATGTAATTTTAGTTCTTTAGTTTTTAATTCTGGGCTTTGCTCTAAGAGCATGACCTCCCCCTCTTCATTTCTTCCTGTGCTCTAAAAAAGGAAGATTCTTACCCTGTTCTGGTTTGCCCCTTTATGTCTTTGCTTGCATCCCAGGGAATAGTTGCGATTGTGGCATATAAGCTTTTCTCTTAAAAAGGACAAAAATAATTTCCAATGAAATCCTGCCTTTCATGAGGTTCTCCTTCTATTTACTACCTCACTGTCAGGTTTTCCTGGTTCTTCCTAATGGATCCTATGTGGTCAATTCTAAAGAAAAACCTTGAGACCCTAAAAGCGTTGAGGGGAAACTCAATCTTAGTACAAAAGACTCACAGGCCAGGCTCTGTAGACTGGGGTCTTGCATGTTAATATTTTACACAGCATTTCTGCGCACTGGTGGGGTTAATGCATAGGGTAAGATTATTCTTTGATGCAGCTTTTTTGACCCTCCTCTTGCCTAGAAGTGAAAAGGAGATTCTTTAGAATGATTGTTGAAACCTAAGTTTTACCCATGGAGGGAGAGGTTCAAAAGATAATTCTTTGTGCATTCATATTTCTACTTGTGTGATTGCTGTTGGGTTATAGCTAATAGTATATTTGTTTTCCCATAAACAAAAGGGTAAATAACCTCATTATTGAACCTCATTTATTAAGAAATCTGTTCTTGAGTTAAAATTCAGTAAGCATGTTTATAGTTAAGGTGTGTAAAGTTTCTTTTTCAGTATCAGAAAAGCCTTTTTTAAGGTTTTGATTAGCTACTATTTCTGATTTAGAACTTAAAAATATATGGACTGGACATTATCTAAATCAGTGATCCCAGAGTTGCCTACACTGATATGATACATGAGTGTTTCTTACTTATACTGTACTTAAAAGTAGAGAAAAAAGGAAACAAGCAAATAGGTTAATAAAAAAGAAGCCTTAACAGTAACCCTTTGCTTAGTGTTTGGTCTGTCTTCTGATAGCCTCAGAGAAAGCTTACCTTGTCAAACCTATTTCAAGCAGGTTTGACGTCACAGTAAGTTCAGCTGTTGAATGGTACGCAGAGGTGCCACTGGCGTTATAGAGGGATTCAGGCAGTTTTGGCGATTTGTCAAAGCAGTCTCTGATCTTGTTAATGATATGATACTGGTAGGGATGACAGCTTTGGCCTTTGTTGAATACTGAGACGATCAGGGCTGTTTCACCACTAGGCTAGTGTTAGGCTAGTACAAAATTTTTGTCAGGAGAATTAAACTGTGAGTTAGCTTTGGCAGGCAACATTTTCATGAGCCTTAAGGCATTTTGTGGCTCAACTGACTTGGGCTGGAGAGTGCCCTCTCCTGGCCAAGACTGGTGTACACACCTCAAGTCTACCAGCGCTTCCCATTGTGTGAAGCCAGCAAGCTATCTAGAATAAATTCATTATGAAAATTCAACTGAATTTTAGTCTATTTTTTTTGGTAAATGGATGAAAAAGAACTCAAATGCTCTATTTTTGTTAACTTGGTTTTTTCTACCATAGGTCTCAACAAATGGCAGCTATTACATCAGACAGTGACGAGTCCTGCTGCTCCCTTAGTGTGACAGACCACTGTGGATTCAGACTGGGAGCATTGAAGTTAACAGTGAGACGGGCAGGTCTGTCTGTGTTAAGCCCTGCCACAAAGTGAAGAGGGCATCATGTCATCACTTACCATTCCCTAAGTAGATTAGGCTAGACATAAAAGAATGCACTGGTTCTTTTTCCTTTGTTTTCATTGACCTTGGTAGCTGGGTGTACCTCAGACTGGTGATCGTTTTTGTGAGTGAAAATAGCTTTCAGTCAGTATTACTTGTTGTGTTAAAAGAAAGGAGAGCCACCTCCAGAGCACTTCATGAATGGAGAGGAGTTACCTCACAGGGTGGGAGAGGCTGGGTGGCCAGTTGCAGAATTATGTCAAGTAGCGACTGAGGCTCCACAGAAAGTCAATTAGCGGACTTGTCTTTTCTCGGTCTTTTGTCTCTTTTATATTCATTACTTTATTTAGTCATTACTTAATATATAAGAATATATATCTGTATATGAACATACACTTAGTGAATTAAATCAACCTCAAAACCATTGTCATTTACATAAGGCAAATCAAAATTCAAGATGGTGGCAAAAGATAATGCTGAAGTGCAGCTGTAATCTGTTTCTTCCCATTTAGTAAAACCTTGAATAATGCACAAAAAGCTTCTTTGGGGCTTTTGTACTGCAGGAAGGGCTTAGGGATTTTTGTCGTCATGCTGCTCTTGAATTTAGGATTTTTTTTTTTTTGCTTCCTTGAATTAATGCTACATAACTCTGCTGTTTGAAGCTAGTGAAGAACTGTAATTGGGCTGTATCATTGTGTATGAGCTGAAATTTGCAAACCAGGTCAGAATGGCACATTTTGGATCAGAGATTGTGGCTGGGATATTTTGGACTCTATATATTATATAGGAGTCTTAGGTACTGGTGACCCCTTGAGGGAATAGCATTTTCAGTTTTCTTCATCTCTCATAGGAGGAGTAGTAAGCTTCAATCCTTGGCTTTCCTGCCAACTTGAATAGGCCTAAGGTTGAAGCCAAATATTGGGAAGGTCAGAAATAGAAATAGAATTGTATATAGAATTGGCTCTGTACCTTTTTTTCTCTTTCAGTTTATAAAATGGGGATATTTACTTCCAAATTTCCATGAGTCTAAATTTATTAGTATTATATTAGTGTAATAGTCTTAGAAAATAACTTTTCTTAGCTCAATGTCAGATTTTAAAATCATGTTAATGATTCCATTGCTTTAGTAAGCATAGACTACTGTTGTTTTGATGTGTGCATATTTATGGCTAGAAGTAACTTTCTATTGCTTGAGAAGAAATGTGATAGAATGCCCTGTGAAATTTATAAGCCTTGATCCAGTAAGTGAATGAAGCATGGCAGCACTGGGAAGTTTATAAGATCAAGAATGCTATCAAAAAATGAGAACTACACCTACTCTGAAATGTTTGGAAGTCAGATACTGGGAAGGATGGGGGATGGTTTTCCCTTTTTGCTTTGTCTATTATTATTCCACTGAAGATACCATATCTTTGGTTTAAAAATACATTTGACAAAAAGTCATTCTTTCCACAGATCACCTCTCTTGGAACTCAAACCCTTACTGGTACTTAGGCCTCCAGGTTGGAAGGCAAGTGTAGAGGGTTTCAATGGGATTGTACCACTTCTTGAGATCAAAGCGAGGTTGTAATGTTGGGCCTTCTGGTCATGCTCCTTAGTAGTGATTTTGATAAGCCTCGTCCTCTATAAATATTCTGTTCAGAGCTGGGCTTTCTGTTGGAGGTACAGTGCAGAGTGGGTCTGCTGGTGTAACAAGGACACTATGGTCGATGGAACCAGTTGTCTTCTAGCTGCAAAACAGTACTGCTGATGCCTTTGGATGTGCTGTGTGTCTATCCCGGGGAGGCATCCTCCACCCCTCTCTCTCTGTTTCACTCTTACATGTGTGTAGACAGTGTCATGTGCAGCAGTTTTTACCTGGTTTTGTATATAAATTTGATTCTTAATCCTGTAGGTAGTCTGTGCTAGAGGAAGACTGCTGGTGTTTCATGGCCCACGCGGCAAAGCTGACTTGCAAACTTTTATATTGTTACTTGTGAAATGGCCGTGTAAAGAACGAAGCTAAAATCCCCCTTTTATTAGGCAAACATTCACAAATAAGTGCTGCAAAATACACTCAAGTGCAAATTGACTATGTGAAGGTGACAACCATTTTATTTGTGTTGGAATTTGGCCAGATATACTTTAGAAAGAATAGGAAGTTGTTTTCTCAAAAAAATGCACACTGGTCAAATTAAATTGGTTTTAAGTAAAAAAAAAAATCAGGTGTGATCCCACAATCTATATAGGACTTGAAAAAACAAGGACATCATTTTTATCATAATTAACTTGTGCTTAACTACGTTTTCTTCCTTTTCTTTACTATATTTCAGCACAAAGACATTAGCAGGCTGCTGGTTTCATGGACCTGTACCACAATGACAGAACACCAGAGCATCAGGACTGAATGAAATTGGAGACTCAGATTTTTAAAGCTGCACTAAGAAGTAAATGTTGAGGCAGTGGTTAAAACCAACAGTCTATAAAGAGGCACTTGCAAATTGTGCTAGATTAAACTGAAGAAAAGATATTAGGGGAATATTTTATTAAAAAAAAACTATTGCAATAAATTATGCATGAGATGAGGAGGAAAGTTATGTGAAATACACAAAGAACTCTTGAATTCTATGTGTGAAGAATCACTGACAGTACCTTCTTTTGAACGTGAAGTTCTTCTCAGTACAGTTTGGACACGCCTAAAAGGCACGGGATGACGACAGAAATGCTGAATTATTTTTTGTATTAAAACTGATTTCTCCAAGGTTTACTGTTAATCAGCTCAGAAAAGATTATCTAACATCCTACTAAAAGGGTGGTAAAGTATCCCTATACCCAACCAAGAAAATTTGGATCTTTTCTTTAATAAAGCAGGACTATATTATCTTAAATATACATTTGCTTGTTAGAACATATTAAGATATATTTATTTGCCACCAGTATTTAATATTTTCTGCACATTTTCATAACTACATTCTTACCTTTCAAATTCTGACTCCAAGTGGATAGGCTAGTGTCAATCTTGGAGTGAAAACATACTCTCTAGGAACTAGTTCTTAATCCTACTGAGCTGGAAAGGCTTTATTCTCCCTGTCCTTACTGATTTTATCGAGTTCACAAAAGGTGGTAATATCTGAATTTTGATATTGACCTCTCTCCACAGAGAGCCCTCTTTCTAAGTGCAAGAATTCCTCAGAGCTGTCCGATGGGACTTGATCCTGGGGAACAAGCAGCAGGAACCATAAAGACGGTGAAGTTTTCATGCATAAAGTATGAATTCTTATTCACAGAGACCATAATGTTTTATCTATGAAAATTACACATTATAAAAAACCTTTTTCATTTTTAATGAATGGAGAAAACATTGAGAAAATCAGATGAATTTGTTAGTACTACATTTTTAAGGCATTTTTATATTTGATGGTGCCGTACTTTTAATAATATACCTGAAGTTTTTTAGTGGCAATACTGATTTATTTTTTAAACCAGAAAGATAATCCATAGTGATTACTTAATACAAAAGGAAAAAAAATGCCAAAAATAAAAATACAAAATTCATTTGAAGCAACATAAATAACTGAGCATTTGGCTTCAATGCTCAAACTTTGCATAATCTTACTATATGTGTTTGGAATTACTTATTAACCCCACACTCAGGATTAACACAAAGTTCTGGGTAAGTTTTAGGACATTTACTATATCAGCTAGGATCTGTTTTACAACTCTAGAAAAGGTAGGCAGTCTTGCTTCTGGCGAGTTTAATGCCAACCCTAATTACGCTGTAACTAAAAGTTTTGATTCCATTCTAAGATTGTCTTTATGGAAAATTGTTTATCATGAAGTCACTGTACGTGATCAAGTCTGAGAGCCAGCTCAGGAACTGCAGCCGCAGGGAGCTCTACGCGCAGCAGCGCCCTGCTCTGGCCCAGGGCTCAGGCTGGGCCCCCTCCTGTTCTTTCAGGTCCGTGACCCAGCAGGAGCACTTCAGGCTCACGTCAAGAACCTGGTAACTCCCAGATCAGAGCAGGTTTTGCGTAATCAAAACTTCTAACTGCAGAGTGACGGAAATGAAGAAGTAACATAAAGGCAAAAAGAACTGGGAGAGATCAGGTTTTATCTAAATATTTTTTTATGGCAGTTCTCAGTGGTGTTTGTTATGAACCACTTTCATTTTTTAAAAAATGAAACTTGGTGGTATTTAAAATCTAGACATACCATGTTTGCTATTTCACCTTCATTGCTTTAGTTGCTTAATATTTAAGCTTTGCTTCATGCTACCTTCATCTGTATTTCAAATCTTCACAAGCCTATTTCATTTTGTAGACTTGAATGACAACAATTGTTTCTCATCTAAACTATGCTGAGACCTAAATGTTAAAGAATGTTGTGTAACATATATTCAATAAAGTCTTGATTTTTTTAAAATTTAGTTATTTAAAAACTATTTGTTTACTACTTAGGAGTTAGGTTTTAAACTGTTAAGATTCAACCACTTGTTCTCTAGGAAGCTGTTTTTAAGTAGCACTGCTTCCTTAGGAGAACAACCTATAGTTTTAATCACTGGGAGATTTTATGGGATGTCTTTATGACCAAGGAAGGGAAATTAGCTTAATAAGGAACTTGTGCACAAACATTACTATTTTCTGATAGAAACAAATAATCTACCATTCAGAGCTGGATGTAACTAAACACCTACTGTTGGGTTTGTCTTAATTTCAAGTAGTTTTACTCTTATGGATAAATGGTTGCTTCTTTAAAAGCCGAGTACCTCCAATCTGAGGTCAAGTATTTGACCAGAAACACTCAGTTGTTAGGAAAAATTAGCCTCTGAACACCAACTAGACAGCTGAGATTTTTTAAGGCTGGTCCAGAAACTAAAGTCAGGTAAATTCTGTTTTGTTTTTTCATTTAAGTAAAGCAATCCTTTAGAAGGCTGCCTGTTATTTCAGAGTATATACACAGAGTCTTTAACCGCAAACATTCTCCCATTTCAGTTTACCTAAATGAGTGTAAGAAGGAAGCCACTGGAGTGTCTCCCTGGGAATGCTGGCATGTCACTGCACATAAAAGTAAGCCGTTTTCTTGCTTTTATACGTGACAGCTCATTTCTACTCTTTCAAGTAATGATTCTTCCCTCAGTGCTTTGAAGAGAGTATACTGTAAATGTTTCTTAAGCATACTTTTCTCTGGTGAACAGCACCCTGCCAAATCTTGGCTTATTCACAAAGAAGTTTCATGGCCTTTGCTTTGATATCAAAGGGTGATGACCTTGGGATGAAAGAATACAACTCAGGCATTCCGTGCCAGAGGAAGAAAGAGCTGGCTAAACCAGTAGCCAGGTCATTGTCCTAAAGAGTTAATACTTCTAGGATCAGCCCTTCATTGCATGTGGAGCACGGTTTTAGAAGCAACCTGACATACAGGAGGCAAAGTGAGTGGGTGATATTAGGATGATGCTTCTATCTGAATAACCTGCTTTACTCAGTAGAGACATGGATTTTAATCTTAGTTCTATCAGTTACCTTATTGACAGAAGAATCACTTAGAGGCCACACTGGCCAAGATGAGGTATGGAAAATAGGTGTCTAACTCAACTAGCTCAAGTTCCTATTCAGCCAAGGCCAAAAACACAGGTGACATCAGGGAACTCTATAGAATAGTTCACTCAGGGAATACTCTTACTTTTCTGAATTCTGCCTGTGCCTGATGCCTGTGGATACTGAGCAGACCACCCACACCTGTAATCTAATGGAGGCAAACGGATTCAGCAATGGGCAGTGCCCTGAGGTAAAGAGGAACCTGACGTGTCCCTGCCCTAGGAAAGCATGGCCAGGGGCTTCAGTGAGACACAAAGCGACTTTACAGAACCTGCCTCACAGAGCTGCTTTCATGCCAGTAGAAAGGGAGCGGCTGGAAAAGCTGCCTCCTGGCCTCTGAAGCCCTGAGAATCCAGTCAGTCACAGCTCTTGGAAATAAGACTTTGTCTCCCAGCTAACTCCCTGAGGTAGCGCTGCAGATAGCATATCTATTCTGGGCAGTCAAACTATCCCTACACCAGTCCTAGGTCCTTGAGACCAAGTACCAGAGAGTCCTCCAAAGCCTCCATCCTTTGAAATGTAAACACTTTCCCACCTCACACTGTTCCCTTGCTTCGCAACCCTGGTCGCCTTTAGTTTGCTTGACGACGTCCATGCTTGCCCATTTCTGACTTGGAGGGCACCGTGTGCCTGGTGTGATGGGGTGGGGCGTCAGATGCGGACCTCCGCTGGCCCAGCACTCCACCTGGTACTAGGAGGTTCCACTGTCTGCAGATCTGGCTCCTCACACCTGGAACTAAAGGCTTCCTGAAGAGCATCTGGGTTGATTCCCTTCACATGTGTCAATCAATGCATGTCTGGAGGAGCCCCAGTGCCTGACTTGGGGTTGCCATCTGGGTAGGCTGTATTTTTTTTTTATTTTAGCAAGGTAGAACTAGCAGCTGGGACTCCATCTGAACCACAGATTAGCAGCTGTGGGCCTCCCTGGCAGTGGGGTGACAGGCCCTGCGGTTCTTTAGCTAAGGCTAAAGGAAAGCTCTAGGGAGTCTTAATTCTAGTCTGGCTGATAGAAATTCTGAGTTTATTCCTAGCTTGCAGCCCTCAGAGGGTTGAGAAATTAGAAGAAAATGGAGTATTTTTTTAATCCTAGAATATTTCAAACATCTGTAAAGGCAGACTAGTATAAGAAATAAAGCCCATGTACCCATCTTTACCTTAAAAAATTACTGACTCACAGGAAGACCGAAATTTTTGATACTCTGAAATACGAGGACATCCTCACTAGTTTTCATAAACTAACCTCATTAGTTTCCTTGATTGCCCTTTGGAAGTTCTTAAGCAGTCACTCTGATGCTCTATGGGCTGGCTGGTAGCAAGTAACCCATTTCTCATTTTCAGGAGTATTAATGGACTCAGTCTAGTGTGAGCTCAAGGCTGCTCTCCACACAACAGAGTGACTGGAAACTGCCATTCTCCGCATTAGCTGTGCAGCTTCCCTGAAGAAAGACTTTCCAGCCACTTCTGGTGGAATGTTCACATATCAATGCTTCCTTTTCTAAAGGCAATCCAGATGACAGAAGGACTAAGCTGCTTACTACTGAAGTGCAGAGAGGAGTAGGCTGCAAAGGATGAGGAACATCTCACTGAAATTGCTTCCAGGAGATTTTTCCTAGGGTGTGGGAATGTGTTATCAGGTACACAGTATACACCCATAGGAGGATTAGAGGAAGATCTCAGTGCTGGAAGAAGAAAGGCAGGGTCAAAGGCGGAAGTGATCTGAGAGCAACAAGGACAGCACTGTGGGCTGGCAGTGACCCCGGGGCTGCAGGCTCAGCGAGACTGAGCTCTGGCAGCCATGGCCCTCCTTCCCCACAGGTGAGCGCACAGAGCTGACGAGGAAGTGAGTTTAAGCTGCTGAGGGCTCCTGTCCGGGTGGTATCTCAGATTTACACTCTGGTCTTGGAAGGTTACTGAGTCCTGTCCTTTAAAGATCCTTCTCAAGATTAAAGCAGCCATTAACTTCTTTCCATCCTCCTTGGCCTCCTGTCATAGCTTTCCCCTTTGACATTCCAAGTTTTGCTAAACTGGTTGTAAGGCAATTTGCAGGTGTGCTCATTAGCTCTTGGGAACAGATAACCTTCCGAATACACCTTCTAATGGGGCTCAGATTTAACAGCCACTGCCAGCTCCCCATTCCACGCCAGCCCAGCCTGACAGTAACACGCCTCCATAAAGTCCCTGTGCCTCTTTCTAAAGCAGTCTGGATTGAGAGCTGTGAGAAACTCAGCAACAGGCTCGGACACCAGCACAGAGATCAAGGAGCACCAGAAATAATCACCAGGCCCAGCCACATTTCCTCAAGCAGTTCTCTGTCTGCAACTGCACCAAGTGCTGTAGGACTAAACAGACACTCACACCGGTGACTCTACCTGAGACACTCTGCAGGGCCAGTGTGGGAGGTCTCATCTTACTGCAGCTCAAACACAGGCCCCGTGCTGCAACGCTCAGCTCATAACCTAGCGGGCTCAGCCACTCCCCGCCTCAGCATCTCAGCATGCCGTAACATTCTCTAGTCCAGTAAGCACGGTAACTTAAGTTATGGTATCTGGGCAGTGGGTCAGACAAGGAGCAAAAGGATAGGGAAAAAACCCAGCTGCAGTGCTTGTGATGGAAGGGAAACGTAGAAAAGGAGTTCTTAGAAAAAGTTTGGATTTTAAAAACAGGATTTACCCATACTTCAGATCCATGATGTGTGCAAAATGAACTAAATCCACAATACACTCTGCACAGAAAAACTACCACCCAAGTAGTCACCCAAGTGACTATAACAGAGCCAAGCCCTGGGTAAGCCTACTGCAGAGGCTCCCATGAATGAAAAAGCTGCTCAGCTGAGAACCAGGAGGTGGCTACGACAGTGTGGACACACAAATAGAGAACATAAGGTGACCTGGAAGATGGAGGGGAGCATGAAACCAGAGGACAAGCTGGGGATTTCTGAGAGTCTCAAAGCAAATACCTGTAAATATCCAAGATGCAGAAATGAAAGTACAAAAATAGGAGGCGTTATGTTTACAGGCCAGGGTGAATGATCACCATCTGAGGATATTCTGTGTGGCTGCACAACATGGGCTCAACCAGCCTTAAGGGACTCCTTTACAAATGTCTTTTTAAGCTGCAAAAAACCAAACAACCAACACAGGTACTAAAAGAAAGAAAGAAAGGCCACAGAATCTAGAGACGTTTGGATAGAATGATTGTTCACGCTGAGACTTCTTGTGGAATGAATATCCTTTAACAACAGTTTACTTAGTTTCTAGTAAAGCAGTAGGTGCTATTAAGAAGATAAATATCTCCCTTACCTTCCAGAAGCTCAAGGTCTATTCATGGAAGCAGACAGGGAATAAGTAATACTTTTAAAAATGTGTTTGAGTCTTCAAGGAAATTCTAGAAGGGGATCTAAAATTTTTGTGATCCACTGCAATGTCACTGGCATAAAAATAAATGTTACAGCGTGGATTACCTCAGAAGTCTATTCTGGTATACCTTTTTTGTGGGGTGACAAAAGCATCACAGACTTATAAATCATACATCTTATAACATGAGGTAAATACAGGCCACCATAATCTGACAAAATGACTTTCAAGGTGGTCCAAGGCTCCTCAAGGGTTCCTGGGACCCTTTCAGGGTCCATGAGGTCAAAACTTTTCATAGTGGTTATGAAATAACTTATTAACAAAAAAATAAATTATTTTAAAGGAATATTTTTAAAATTTCTATTTTAATTTCTATATAAATATTGATAAATATCAAGAGATTAGTCCACATAAATCAAAGTGCTGTTTAAATTTTTTTTTTTTTGCTTTATTTTTTTGGCAGCACAGTGTGACACGTGGGAGGTTAGTTTCCTGACCAGGGACTGAACCCATGCCTCTTGCAGTGGAAGCATGGAGTCTTAACCACAGGACTGCCGGGGAAGTCCCCTCCTTACACTGTTCTGAGCGTGGAGTAGTGCTGAGATCAGAGGTTGGTGGAGTGCTGGGCCAGCAGGGTGCTGTCGCGCAGGGAGCATGCAGCACCGCCGGCTGGACCAGGCAGCTTTCAGCCACGATTTCTGTGCTACTTGTGTGATTTCTCACACACCTTCTAGGAAAAATTAGATGCCAGATTTATCATAAAGACAGCAAAGCAAAATTAACCACATTCTTTTTCCTTCTCCCCTTCCCCCTTATAAACTGCATGAAGAAGTTCATTTCCATCTAGGAGAAAGGACTTCCCTGGGGGTCCAGTGCTTCTACTGCAGGGGGTATGGGCTCAATCTTGGTTGGGGAGCCAAGATCTCCTATGCTGCCCCTGCCAAAAAACCTGGGAGAGGGGCTTAGCAAACCACAGTGTGGATACAGCAGATCATTCCACTGCCTAACAACACACGCTAAGAGGCTTTGAGGAACTGATCAAAAGAACAGCAAAATTCTTAATACTGGGAAGAGGCCTCCAGCATGTCACTTACAGAATTATACATGTACTTCATTTCTAACATGAAACCTGAATGTCACTGCCTTTAACACTTAACTCATAACAATCAAAAAGCTTTTCACCAGCATTGAGGATTAGAAAAAACTACCTTTGAAACTTCTGGGTTCATGGAGTCTAAAAGAATACAGTTTTGTTCTGGGATTCACATACCAGCATTCCTAAACGAAGTTGTTTTAAGTTGAAATCACTAAGACTGGTACTTGGTCAAAAACACTGATTTCATATGCATCTGCACAAATCTGGAGAGGCCTGAGACGGCTTGTGAGGTGAGGTTTCTAAATCTTAGTACGTGGTGGATGCTCAGCTCCTCCATATCATCTTCAAGGTGGCAGCTAAGGCTCTGGGAGGACTGGACTGTGCTCAAAATCAACACCGCCTCCTACAGCCAGGACACCTTCTGCTCTAGCTCTCATTTTGGGGACAAAATTCACAACCCAGCTCAGACTGTCACAGAAAGCATTTATTACCAGAGGAAACTAGGAGATGCTGGAGCCCACGCAGGGCGGTGTGTGCGATCGGGGTGAGGGGACAGCAGGCAGGGACCCCATCACACGTGGCTGGGTAGTCTCTGCCTGGCAGGTTTGCTTGGCCCAGGAGACTCCAGCTGGGTTTGTGTTTGTGGAGCTCAGGGAGGTGAGTCTCGATAAGCAGGCTTTCTCCTGGACAAAACAAAGGACAGCCAGAACCAGTGCAGCAGCAGCACGGACACCACCGTAAAATGGAAATCAAATAAGGCTCACTGTATCAGGAAGCGCATTTCACCCTGATCGTAAACAAGGGAGAAAAGGGAGTGCTGGGCTCTACAAGACAGCCTGTCTCTGAGATCAGATGCTTTTAGAAGTTAAAACACTGGCAGGGCCTTTCCCCTTGCTAATACAAGCAGCACACAACTTCCAAGCCAGCTATAAAAGCTATTGTTATTTTTGTTATCTGTTGTTATTTGGATTTTGAACAAAATTGATGGAGTAGGAGCCAGTAGAAGAATCCTGTTTGATCTGGAAATTCTCTGTGGAGAGTCCAAAAGGCCGGAGAACCAAGTTCCCAAGATCTTTTAGTTTACCTGCAATGTAAAAGCAAAAAGTCCAGTAAAAACAAGGAGTTGGCAGAAGCAGGAGATTCCAACTGCCTTCCTATTTGACTACAAAACAGAGTATCCCTCTGCAGTTAAAGAAACTCCTGCTTTTAAAACTATGAAACCCTCAGCACCCAGTGTACCAACAGCAGAGCAGGCATTTCAGTGCCATCCACCTGAGCCGTCGCTCGCACAGATGAGCACAAGGGTCCCGCGGGGACAGCACAGCTTCTTGGCCACGCTGGCCAGAACCCCCAGGGGACAGGCTCTCTGGGCTGAGTGATGAGCTGCTACTCCGGGGACTGAAGGCCAAGCCTGGCGGGGAGGGCCCAGGCGCCTCCAAGTCTGTTCTCCATGAAACAGCAGAGCCACTTGCTGAATCTAATTCCACTCAGCAGATTTCTACTGAACCTGGGTTGAAACTCAAGAGCCTCCTGCTTTTCCAAGTCAAATCTCAGCTTCCAAACCAAACTCATCATTTCTGGGGAAACGGGAGATCTTGTTCTGCACAGTTCCATCAACCTCAACAGCCTAGTTTCCCTCCCCGGATTTCGGGCTTTGTCAATCACCAGGTGAGTTCATGTCATAAAGTTAAATGAACACACACAGCATAACCATGGATTTTTATGTTGATTCGCCATGTAAGGGGGACATGGAGCTTATACAAAAGTTGGAGTTTCCAGGACATTTGGGAGACTGGGATTTGTGGGGCAATAGGATAGAATATTTGAAACTAGGGTGGTTTTAGAAAATCTTGGCTAGGATGGGTGAATACGTATTTCAATCATTTCTAAACTGTTCTAATTTTTCTTGCAGGTCTGCTTCCAGTGGACAGGAGGAAGAGGGTAAGAGCAAGAAACCCCTGCTCATCAGAGGGACAGGCTCCTTCTCACCTTGCTGCCCTTGTTGGCAGCTTTGTTGCTCTGAGATCTCCCACTCTGAAATAAATCCCAGGTAAAGAACTTAAAGATGCATGCCTTTAAATGCCAAGGCCTTTCCTGGGAACTCTTGGAGAGAACTTTGGACTCAGTCTGAGATTTAGCCCCCAGAAAATCTCACCATATTCACAGAGACCCAGACTGACCACTCTCCAGACAGGCTTCCCCAACCCGGAACACACGTGCTCGGTGCTGCTGATGGAGGAAGAGTCACCGCACAGGCCTTGTCCCTGGCGCGCTGGAGGGCACAGAGAGGTGCCGGCGGGGGCAGGAGGATGCGTGAATAGGAAACCAGGAAAGACAGGGCCTCCCTGGGACAGCATGAGTCAGCCAGGACTCTGGCAGTTTGTCTGTCTTGGGACTGAAGAAAGAGGACAGGGAGGGAACCAAACATTTAAAGAAGCCCAATAAAATGTCACTGCTGGCACAATCCTTGGCTCCTCTGACAGAGTGAGTGAAGCAAGGAGGTGCCTGTCCCAAGGCTCTGGACTGTCAGCCAAGCCTGGGGCCACCACCCGGGGGAAGGGATCACTGCAGGGCCACGTCCACGGCCAGAACAACAATCTCCATGGCAAATGTGTGTGTTATCTGGTGTCCACTACAGGAGGCACTGGGATCTAAAGAGTATGAGTTACTCTGGTGTAACTTCTGAGATGCTCACAGTCTAGCGGGCAGACAGACTGGGGTGAGCGCAGAGGCTCTGAAGGATGGGAGCAGGTTCTGAAGGTGGTGAGGAGGCCCCTGCGCCTTGGAGGTGGCAGTGAAGCCAGGGCACGCGTATTCCCAATGCAGACAAAGCGGGGCGGGGCCTTGCTTTGCCCGTCAGGCTGAAGTGCTTGCACCGCAAGGAGCTGGGGGCCTCGGCCTGGCTGATTCCAGAGTGGCAGCCAGAGCGTGCACTTCTCTGGGTGCAGGGCGCCTCCACACCAAGGTCACAGGCCCCGCGGCTGTTCAGTCAGTGACCGAGCCCTGCTGGAGAGGGCAGTGTGGGCTCCCTAGTGGCTTTGCTGAAGTGTCCCCAGGACGAACCTGCAGGGCAGGACTTCTCTGACCCAGGTCCCTGCTCCTCTCAGGGACCTGACGGGATCCCAGCCACGTCCAGTTCCCTCTCTCTGCTTACTTCCCCTTGCAGGTGCTCCCTCCAATAAACCCCTCACATTTCTAATCCAGCCTTGGCTTCTGTTTCTCCAAGGTCCCAACCTAACACACGTGGCATCACCTTTTCCTTTTATTCTTGTATCTCTGCCTTCATAACATTCCACAACATTATCACCAGAACAGCAGAACAGAAGGTGGGAAGTCTGCCTGCTAAACAGATAATGCACATAAAGTCCCTGGCAGGTACCAGACACGTAATAAAAACACATGATTGAACAGTCTCCACATAAGAGAAGACCTGAGATTACCTGACTTGAATTAACCAACATATACCAAGTACGTATGTGCAGTGGGGAATGCAAAGATACATGACACTGTCTTTACACCAAAATAAGCTTCGGTCTGATGGCAAAGCACACACACACACACACACAAGCCAGTTCACATGGAGTCGAGATGCAAGATGCTACGAGAGTCAGTAAGCAGATGATCCCCTCCAGCTTGGGCAGGAAGGAGGAGACCTGGCAGAGCTGTGTATGTGAATCTGCATTTCAGTCACCAAAGACAGGCAGGACTGCAATGGTCTGAGACAGAGGGAGTAGGCAGTGCAGGCGAAAATGGATGGAGACAGGTGGCCAAGGGAGGGCAGCAAGGCCACAGGACTGAAAGGAAGGTGGAAGGGTGCGGCCAAGGCCACTGATAGTTGGAGAGCAGCTTTCAGTGTTAATAATGCTATGGGGCAAAATGAAGAATAAACCCAAAGAAGAGTCTGCAGGTGGTTCTGACACAGAGCTAGTGCAACATTATAGGGAAGAGGCCATTTATTCACTGAACAAACAGCTGACGTCTATGCTGTTGGGTAAAGCAGCTCTGAAATTAGGGGTATGGAAATAACAGACACAAACTACTACATATAAGACAGATAAGCAGAAAGAGACACTGGGAATTATACCCGTTATCTTCTAAAAACTTCAAATGGTGTATAATCTGCAAAAATACCGAATCACCATGTGGTACACCTGAAACTAACACAATGGTGGTGATGGTTTAGTTGTCGAGTCATGTCCGACTCTTTGTGACCCCATGGACTATAGCCTGCCAGTCCCTTCTGTCCGTGGAATTCTCCAGGCAAGAATCCTGACTGGAGTGAGTTGCCATTTCCTTCTCCAGGGAATCTTCCCAACCCAGGGATAGAACCTGCCTCTTCTGCACTGCAGGTATTTTTTTTTTTTTCTCTTCTGCTGAGCCACCTTGTAAATCAACTACAGTTCAATTTGACAATGCTCTAAAATCAGCGCAGGACCAGCGGGGACATAATGAAATAGAGCCCAACATTAAGGCAGAACCAAGTTGTGGTGTCTGCACAGTTCACCCGTACTGTTTACGATGGTGGTAGAGAAGCACCTTCGGCGAGAGCAGGCTTTCGGCTGTGCAGAGTCACATGCTCACAGACCTCCTGCGGCTGCTCAGTCAGGCTGGACTCTCAGAGACTCAAGCAGCTTCTCCAGACCCCAGACAGGACCATCTGCCATCTGGCCCATCTCCCACACTCTCCACTGGCTGCCAGATTTCACCCGCCCCTTATCTGGGCAGTAATCAATCTGGTTCCCTTCTTTCCACTTGTAGCAAACCTGGTACCACCACTCAGTCTGAACGTGGCCACATGTCCTTAACTGTAAGGATCTCATCTCTCAGACCAGATCCCAGGGCAAAGAGAAGAGCCCAACAGTGCTTGGGCTCAGACAAGAACACTTATGACTAGAGATCAAGGCTTGGCACTGGATCCAGTTCTGATATATATTAAATTTCTGTGTCTTCAAGCAACACTGTATTATAATAAACCAACTGACTTGTTATACATCTCTTCTCTTTGGAGATAGTGACTATGCAGTGGTCAGCTTATTGTCAGGAGAGGCAGGAAGACCATTTGTTTTCACCTCCTCCAGATCACTGAGGTCTGGGCCTTGTGGAATAGATTCTTTATCAGGAGAACCAGACTGCACACAAGTGAATTCTGACACTGCATTTCCTCTTCTGAGGTAGGAAACTAAGCTGTGCAGCTGACTCCTAATTTCCTCTGAGCAAAAGGCAAATTAAGAGACAGCACAGAATACAGAAAATAAAATTTACACCCAATTCAAATGCTTATATATTAGCTCCTGGGTGAAAAGTGGAAGCTCAAAGAAGCCTTACCAAGAACTAACTGCCAAAACAGCAGGAGTGATTCTCCCGAGAGGAGGAGCTATGGGAATAGCAACCAGGAAATGAGGCAAAAGGCAGGGAGGGCATTGAAAACCCAAAACCGCATTCCCTACTGATGGGGTGCAACAGCAACGCGGAACTGGCTGAGATTCTCTGGTGGCCAGATCACACCGCATGGCAAATGCACCATCTGAGGTAAGTACTAGAGAGTGCAGCAGGAAGAGAAATGTGGGAAAGGAGCCTGGATTTCCACACCCACATGGATGGCTGCAGCAACTTTCAGGGACAGTAACAAGTGAGGCAGCAACCCAATTCTAGGACCCTGAATCACTTGCACAGAAGCCCTTAATGCATAGGATAGTCAAAAGAACCCTTACAATGACATGAACAAGTTACCTCCAGCTCCAAATCTCACTTTTTAACATGGATCATACAAGGTGGTGTTCTTAATTTAGTTCACAAATGCACAGTCATTAGGATGCTAGTGGCCAGGAGCAAACACCTGAGTAACTTCAGGGCTCAGGGGACTGGTACCATGTTCCAAGAAGGTGGAAGGAGGCAATGGTACAAGCAGAATGCTGGACTGGATGGCGAACAAGGCCCCCGTGTGTGCCGAGCAGCTGGAAGCCAGTGGAAGAAAGGCAGGGTCACTGGGGCAACACCTTGCCCATGGCTCTTGACCTCTGAGGGAGTCAATGAGTTTTATGTCCAGCTCTAGGTTTTCCAGGTCAGGACAGGTTCTCAGCTGAGGTGGAAAGACAGATCATCCAGAATGGGTGGAACAGAAGCTAGATGCTCTGTCCAGGGCATCTTTCCAACCTCATCAAACCACTGACTATACCCTGCAGTCCTTTTAAACCTTATGTTCCCTGGCTGCAATAGGGAGGCTGTCTTCCCAGAGGTGAGAAGAGGGCAAACAAGTCAACACTCCAGTGACTGACCCCTTTCCTCTAATCTAACATCAGCACAGTCATCTTCTGTGGCAAGGACTGTGGCACTATGACCAATGGCCACTCCTGTTCTAAGGATGACATTTACAAATGACAGGCTAAGAAGAGAGGAGCAAGTATGTTCTACCCACTCACAGTTTTAATTAGAATTTTTTTTTTCCCCAAGGTGGGGGGTATGTTTCCAACAAAAAGGAAGTCAACTTACAGAGAGAAAAGGAAAAGAAAATCAAGAATACTGAACAAACTAAAAGTCATGCAGTCCACTGCAAAACGTCTGCACAGGACGTCTAAGTGAGCGACATGGCTCTGCATATCTGGAGGGACCAGCCTCCAAGGACCTCAAAGTGCACGAATCAGAGCAAGTTCATCTGTAACGAGGCAGGGACACACCAGGAGGCTCACACAACGCTGAGAGGGACCTCGCCCTTTAAGGCTCTCCTGTGGTAGATAACACAGAGGCAGTATTTTATTCACTATCATCATATTCATGAAGAAAATAAAGGAGTCCGGTCATTCAGACTACTGATGTGTAACAACAAACTGACATATTTACCAAGCAACTTAAGCTGTTCATGAAAGAACAACATAAGTAAATGCCAAAACCACAAGACAAGAAACATCAGCTTATGAGAACGGAGTGACAAGGACAGATGGAACTTAATTCCGTCTGGAACTGACAATAGCAGTAAGATTCAGTTTATATCTATCCATTTATTGTTTCATGGTGATTAAAAAAAACGGACCCAGAAATCAGTGCCTAAGTGACCACTATAGTCATTCACCAAGTCTTCTCTTTCAGCACGAAATCCAGTTCAGCTAAATGCAAATACCTTTTTCCTTTTTGCTAAAATAAATCATCATTGTGAATAGATGAAGAATCCTCTTTTCTTCCTTCTTTGGAGAAAAAGTACCTCCGAAATAACTTTTCGGCTCAAACATGGTGTCAAATTTTACTAAAAATGTAAATTCGGGAAAGAGCCAATTTTGGAAGAACTGAGGAAGGCTCCAGAGATCTGCCCAAGTCTGAAGCAGCTCTCCTTGGAGTCTGAGTCCACCCAGCAGGGCCCACACTTGGATTTACTGGGTCAGTAGTTCCTCCTCAATCAACTCTCTGTCAGAGTGATCTTTTGGGAGATTTGTCTCATTCTCTAATACTGATGCCTAAAGGCCATAAATGGCCAAGCTCAATTTATTTTAAGTGATCTTTCCTTTTGGCCCGTGTTAGTTGCTTAGTTGTGTCTGACTCTTTGTGACCCCATAGACCACAGCCCCACCAGGCCCCTCTGTCCATGGGATTCCCCAGGCAAGAACACTGGAGTGGGTTGCCATTTCCTTCTCCAAAAGGAATTACAGAAAGAAAAAAGTGAAGTCGCTTCTGGCCCATGCGACTGCAATTCATGATATAGATTATTCATAAAGAAAACATACAGGAGGTCACAAATAGACAACTATCACACAGGTTATAAGCATACTGTGCTGGGCAGGTCTCTGTCCAGGAACCTTTATTCCTCTTGGTCAAGCAGACTGTTTACAATGAAGAGCCCTCTAATCCCAACCATAAACACAGTTTGGTCAATTTAAGAACTAAAACATGGGTCAAATGAAACCAATTCCCCTGACCCTCCACCTACACAGTTTTTTCCCCTTTTCCCATTTACTACTAATTCTTACCCTCTCATGTCTTCTCAAATACTAAAGGGCCTGTGAATGTTATTTTCAAAACAAAAATCCCCTTGGTTTTCACAGGGTACTGGCTTATACTGATTACATCCTAAGGAACTTAAAACCTGAAGTTGTTTCCTCAATGAACAAAATCAACTGTTTTTATGAAATTGATGATCTGAAAGAGAGGTTGATGGCACCCCCAGGGTTGGGAGTTCATTATGTTTGCATTTTGAAGGCAGGAAAAGTTACCAAAAAAATAAAGAAAAGCGAAATGGAAGTTTAGCTTTTGAAAAGCTGATATCCACTCTAAACCACATTGGTCCTTTAGAGTCAAAACTGATTAAGAACTCACAAGCCCCAGGGTGCTGGTGCCCTGTGATACTGGTACTGAACCACAGAAGGGTCACAAAGCTGTTTCCCACTGTTGAGTTCTCCTCTAATGAATAAAAGGACGGATGGCTGCATCCCCCAGCTTCTGAGCTATTTATGGTAAAGAGAAGGTAAGGGAGGCAGACTTACCTAACATCTCTTCCTTCAGCCTTTCATTACGTTCTTCAATTTGTTTAGGTAATCTCTAAGGGAAAAAGCACCAAAACAAGGGTTGTGAAAACCTTTTGGCTTTATTTTGAACTTGAGAAACATTTTTAAAAACCTTGTATGAAAATGAGATCAGGTTAAAGCACATACATATGATCCCACTAAATATAGAAAAATCCCAAATATTTCTCTGTGGGGGCACTACAGAGACAGGAATTTTGTTTGGTTCAATGCTATGCACAGTTCCTGGATCACTGGAATGGACTCAGGAGGACCTCAATAAAAATTTGGTGAAAAATACACACACACGCACAACATCTGAAAGGATACACATCAGATGTTTACAGTAGTATACTCAGGTGGTGGGATAATGGCTGATACTTATATATATTTTCTGCTCACTTGTATTTTTTAACTTGAGGTCCTTTTTCTATGTAAATTAACTGTTGAGAAAGCATCAGATCGATATCAGATATACCGAAATGATCATCCAGCTCAGGGTTTTCCAGCCTCGGCACTACTGACATTTTGGACTGGGTGGTCTGTTGCTGGGGCTGTCCTGTGTACAGTGAAGTGGTCAAAGCATCCCTGGCCTTTAGGCGCCAACAGGACCCTCCCCACCGCCACAGCGACCCCCCACCTTGCCAAGTGTCCCCCGGGACCAGAATCCCTGCACCTGAGAGCCACAGATGTTCTCTGGGCACTTTTAGCTCTGGAGTTGCCCCACGCACTCTGTGATGCCAGTATTAATTCTGTTGTAATAATTCAAGAAAATAAATTCTTTACACGTATAACAACCAGCTTTAATAAAAGGCTCCCTTTTTAACACTAATTTGACAAAGATAAAGGCCACCAAGAATTCAGCCAAGATTTTAAGAACTCTATTCCCTTTCCTCATGTCCAATTTAAGTTAATCGTAACACCATTAAGAGATACATTAAAAGTCAGTAAAAGGATTAAAATTGCTTTCAAATTGCATATGTATTTTAATTACCCAAATGCACCTTTCTCCAATTACTCCATTTCTAGGTAAATAAAAGACCTGTTGTGGCTGAAGGAACTCACCTCAAGAGGGTATAAAAACAAAGCAAAATAAAACCCAAACGACCTAAGATATTGATATTAATGCAGGGAGATGAGTCAACATTTTTCGGGTCTGCTTGGTGGAATAACAGTCCCGTGACCTAAATGGGAGATCCTGTGGAGTAGGGGTTCAGGTGCCCTCCAGGGACTGACAGGAAACATAAATAAGTAATGCACTGGGTGTAAGGCAACAGCACTGGTGTGCTCAGCCAGGTAATCGGAGCACTCCATCCCCCCGCCAGCAGGTGCGAGTTCAAGGAGAAGCCAGCATGTCCACATTTTCCAATTTTCAAGAGGAGCCCGACTTAGATTTTTATCCACTTAATTTTATCCATTTTAAATGGATTATCCATTTAAAAATTCTTTCCATTTTTAAATGTTGGAAAGTAGCCTCAACTGAAAAAACAAAACCCAAAAGTCTGGCTAAATAGAAGATGCCTGTAGCTCTCTGGCTCCTGCCATCTCTGCTACATACTGGGTTCAGGATAGATCTCCTCATCCTAATGCCTTCTGAAAAGTCTGGCAATGAAGAAATCTGTTTAGTTAAAGCCAGTGTCAGTGGAACTTATTTGAACACCTATTATTTTGGGGCAGTGAGACACACATCCAATTTTGTAGAAAATCCTTAAGAGTATACATTACTCTCTGCATTGGAGATAGAGTGGTGCTAAAGGTAAAAGCACAAATATACAGTTATTTTTAAAGAGGAAAACAAGTAATATTTAGTTTTAATTTACTACTGACATAAAAATATGACGTTTAGAAGCAAAAGGATTTTTAGTGACGAGGACAAGAACTAGAGTCATTTTAAGAAAAAGATTAGGATATATTCAACTGGAAATGTTCTGCACATATGACAATAAGTAGAAACTTGATGACTGAGTAACGAAGAGAAAACCAGAAATTTATTATCTACAATATTAAGGCTCACTTTCAACTAAACTGTACACCTATAAGCAGAAAAGTTTTCCCTAGTCCAACAACGAAATAAAGTTCTTGTTAACCCTAGAGGTCAAAGGTTTATACAAGACAACAATTTTAGAATGAAGATTAAATAGTATAGGGCACAGTGGGTTGGAGCCACCACTTCAAAGCTCTATCTCCTGCAATATTCCTTCCAATAAGCTTCTCAAAAGCATAGAAATGGCATGTAGTTGTGTCTCAAAAGATTATCTAAGATTCAATGACTAGTAACACAAGAACAGAAAATATATTTGTAAAAAGTCAGGTTTACCATGCAAGCTTCTCTTGCTTGATGTACTGATGGGTCTTTTTCTAATATGGATTTATAGTCTTCCAGGGCTTCATCCAGCTTGTCAGTCTTCTCATACAACTCTGCTCTCCTCAGTATTGCCCTGATGTAGCTGGGGTTTAACTGAATTGCTGTAAAAAGGGAAGAAGTAACTGTTACCATAAGGAAAAAGGGCCTATACACCCTCAGTTATATCAAGTTTCCTCAATAATCATTCTCCATGGCTCCGCAGGAAGAGTTATTTGTTAAAGGTTATACCTAGGGTCAGCAAACTTTTTCTGTAAAGGGCAGGTAGTAAAGACTTCAGGCTTTGTGGGACAGACCGTTAGGACTACTGAACTCTGCTACTGCAGCATGAAAGCAAGCACAGACAATGCATAAGTAAATAAGGGTGACTGTATCACAATAAAATTTTATTGATGGGTACTGAAATCTGAATCTCACACGATTTTCATGTGTCCTGAAATATTACTTCTCTTTTGATTTTATTTCCAATGATTTAGAAATGTAAAAACAATTCTTAGTTTGCAGGCTGAACAAAAGCAGGTGGCATGCAGGCTACATTTGGCTTGTGGCAGCAGTTTACCAAACCCTGGTCTATACCCCAAGTCCTGGTTTCCACCTAGTTACCCTTCACCCACTTCAGAACAGTCCAGAACAACAGGGCTCAAGTGCACAGTGAAAAAGTGAGCAGGTACTTTCATGATTTAAAAAATAAAAAAGAAAGAAGAAAAAAAAAAAAAGTGAGCGGGAATCTGAAGGCGCGTGTTAAGAGAACAGTGGCAGAGTGTCTATCATTTACTCTCTTGTTTTCTGGGCCTCAACTATGGAGGTCACACAATGACAACTGAGATGGTATTTTAGCTAAATGCTCACTGGTCCTTCAAACTCTGCTCTAACACCCTTAGGTCACTAGGTATAATATCCTTTCTTTTATCCAACAACAAATGCCTTGTAATAATCCCGTGCCCATGTTTTGGTTCGAGTATACTACATTCTTCTATTCTTTTTTGTGTTTTTCCTTTTTCTGTTAAGAAGCAGTATCATGGCTCTAGAACTTTTTTCTTTTCAAATGATATTCTCATTTTTAAATTCATTTATGCTTTCAGTAACTGTTTGTTTATACCTAATATATGCACCTAGGGTAGTGCCCCTCCAGAGTACAGTGGTAACCAGAACAGACCAGGTCCAAGTCCTCATGAAGCTTTAAGCTGTTCTAGGAGGCAACAGAAGATGGCATACAAATAATTTCAGATAGCTATAGAGCTACAGAGAAAAATAAAACAAGGTGATGTAAATTCAAGAGAAGAGGGGAATAAGTGACTTTTTAAGAGTGGAAAGAATACAAAAGGGATTATTTGAGGGAAGCCAGCTATCTGAAAAGCTGAGGGAGACAGTATAGGAAAAAGAACTAAAAAGAGTAAAGGATCTAAAAGCAAGAATAACTTCAGCATCTTGGTGACAGGTAGAGGTGCAGAAGAGATGAAGTTGAAAATACACAAGAAGCAGGTCATGGAGGCCTTGCTGGCCAGGAGCTTGGACTTTTTCTATTTTGTATTTTTTAAAAAGCTTTTATATTGGAGTAATACAACTGATTCACAATGTTGTCTTATTTTCAGGTGTAGAGCAAAGTGATTTAGTTATACACACACACACACATCTATTCTTTTTCAGATTCTTTGCCCATTTAGGTTAATACAGAGTACTGAGTAGAGTTTCCTGTGCTATAGAGTAAGTAGGTTCTTGCTGATTGTCTATTTTAGCTATTTATTATAATTTTTATTGGAATACAGTTCATTTACTAGATCTTTTAAGTGTGATAAGAAGCCACTGGAATCATTTCAAGCAGATTAAGACATCATCTGATTTACAGTTTTAAAAGCTCACTTTGGCTATAGTGTGAAGGGTATGGGTGGAAGCAGTAAAACAGCTGGGAGGTCACTGCAACAGACCAGATGACAGAGGATGCTCACTAAGCTGCTAAAAGTGGAGATGGAAAGGAGAGGCCCGATTACGGAAATGTCTCTGAATCAAAGCCCAATGGACTTGCTAATTAATTAAACCATGTGGAATGAGAGAATAACTCAGGGATGACTCCAAAGGTTTTAGAGTTTCAGCAAGTGAATGGATAATAATGCCATTCATTAGTATGAAAAAAACTAAATGCAAGTTGTTTTCATGCATTTATGTATGCATGGGGACTGGGAGGCACCAGAGTCTGTCTGGGCACGTTACATCTGCCATGCCATGGGACCAGACGTCCCAGGGAGGTGTCAAGTTTGCAGTGGGATACACGGCTCTAGACTACAGGGCAGGGCAGAAGATATAAACTACATTGTGTGGATGGGCTACTTAATGTGCAGATAGTCTTTCAATGAAGCAGATGACAGAAATGGTAAAATGGCTGGATGGGGATATTGGTTCAGGAGAAGGTTTTCTGAAAGAACCCAAACTGCAGGATTTCAGCTTTACACACGGTCAACCTCCCCGTGGCCCAGCACACGATATTCTCTGAAAATACTCCAGTGACCTCTACTGCATCATCTTTTAAACAACTGAACCCCTAATTTACACTTTAACTCCTATACTGCCCCCTTCTCAACTAGTGGGTAACTTCTAACGATGCAAATATTGACTGAAGAGATAGACTCCTTGCAGGATTTCTCTTTTATTGGCTGCACAGCTGACAGGATCTTAGTTTCCCAACCAAGGACTGAACTCGGGCCCCAGCAGTGAAAGCTGAGTCCCAACCACTGTACCACTAGGCAATTCCCTATGACTACTTCATAAAAACCTCTAACATCAACTTATCACTCTAACTTGTGATTGCTTTCCCAATCCATATAAAGAGAATTAAACTTTACTTACATGCTAAGGCTAAAAACATAAAGGTGGCTGGCATTAAATATTGTTCCACAGTTTTCATACAGTTTCTTATATAGTATTTCATAGTAAAGAGTTCCAAATGAGTTAAGTCCTTTGCCAAAGTTTGTACACAGAGTGGGCATGTGTTTATCTGGGGGGCAGGGGAATGAAAGGTCCTGTATATCTAAATAATCTGTACTACTTAATCCAAATAAACTGCATTACTGTTAATATATTTTGTGCATGGATTCAATAAACCATATGTAGCCGTAACAACTAAGTATAAGCACATATATTTTGGTTTAACCAAAAAACCAAAAACAAATCTGAAAAACACTTCCCCCCACTTCCTCTCATTAGCTTGGCTCCTAGACTGAGGGTGACAGCGAGAAATGAACTGTTTTCTACTGTATTACCCGCTAATCAGCTTACAAGCCATATTCTCACCATTTGGTTACCAAGAAAAGAACTCTGAAAATCACAGCTTGTTCCTAACTTAAACTCATCAAACCCACACATCTCACAGAGATTAAGGTTAAACACCTTCTTCCAAACAAAACAGTACATTTAGAATTAGTTCCAGCCCAAGATAGTAATAGATTAGAATAAGTTTGCTAGATTCTAATGTGTTAAGTTTCATTCAGAGACTCGAATGAAATGCCAAATATAAAGAAGAGAGGGTGACTAATTAATGTTATTAAAAAATCTCAGGAAACAAAACAGATGAGGGAATTCATGCTTGGTCTGAGAGTAGGATTAGATAATATATAAGGTTCTTTTTTTTTTTTTAATAAAGTTCTTTTAAACTCTGATTCTCTCAGAGAAAATATTATCCAAAGGAGAAAATATTATCCAAAATGGAAAAGAAAATACAAATTTAAAAAACAATATTAGTTTGAAGAACTCATGCGAGTAGCAAGATGCAAGGAACAAGATTATGTGTGTTCCCCATATCAAGCAGGTTATATAGACAAGCCAACCATCTGGCCTGTCAGGAAATTTTTGGGAAAAAAACCAAAAACAATAATGACCCTATGTCTGGAGCTGTCTCTATGAGGTGGTAGAATGAAAAGACCATTATGGAACTCAGGCATCAGATGACAAAGACTGGATTCACTGTGTTGAACTTGATAAAAACTGACGGCAAGGAGGTTTGGATTAAGTACATCTGAACAGAGTACCAATTCCCTAAGAGCAACCACCACCACCATTCAACCACACAGATTCAGAAGCCCCACCAGCAGCTAAGATCTTAAATTTCAAAGGTGAGCACACAGGAAGTATATACCGTTCCTGTGGCAAGATAGGTTTGAATTTTCTCCACATATTTACCAGTACAGGATAAACTGACTTAACTATCCATTCAAAAAATGCTTTCACTAAGATGACTGCTGTGCAGTACACCTCTAAGAAAGACCCAAAGCTTCTCGTTGAGCAGCCCCAGAAGGCTGCATGTGTACAAGGACACAGCTGACTGAGAGCCTCTGTGTTTGTTGTCCAGCTGAAGTAACAGGCTTCCCAGGTGACTCCGTGGTAAAGAATCCACCTGCCAAAGCAGGAGACAAAGGTTCAATCCCTGGGTCAGGAAGAGCCCCTGGAGAATGAAATGGCAACCCACTTCAGTATTCTTTGCCTGGGAACCCCATGGTCGAAGGAGCCTGGTGGGCTACAGTCCATGGGGTCACAGAAGAGTCGGTCACAACTCAGCAACTAAGCAACAGCTGAGGTAATGCTCTTGTATGTGAACATGTACAAGACCAAAAAGCTGTACCTTTGCTGCAGTCACTGATGGCCATCTCTTTCTTGTCCTAAAAGGAAATAGATCATTAATACGTGTCACCCTAATTCTGTCTCAACAGCTCAAAGGCTCAATGACATAAACTGATCATTAATAACTGCTTACAGAGATACATGCATGCTTTTCAAGGAAATCATACCAAAACATGCAAGCCACTTCCAAGCTAAAATTCAAACTATGCTGACAGCTGACTTGAAAGCCTCCTGGCAACAAATTATTGAAGGAGCTTCCTCCTGAAGTATCTTTATTTAAAGATTGCTGCAACTGGCCTGCAACATTTTACATCAGAATGTTGATAGTGAGAAAACCTGTGATCAATAAACAGGGCAAATGACTGATACATGAATAACTGAGTGAGTCCTTCCTCTTTGGTGAACTGTCACATATCACACCCAAAGTGGTATTTTCCAGAAAGTACAGAGGTGGTCCATATACAGACAGAGCATGGCTTGCCATGAAGTCTCAGTTATGAACCTTAACTGATCCACTGACCAAACAAAAATACAAAAGAATTTGCCAAATATCTAATTTAATTTGCTGAATTGAGAAGCATGGCATAGTGAAAAGAACACAGGAATTCAAAAGAACTAGATTCCAGCTTGAGAACTAGATTATCAAAGGAACTAGATTCCAGCTTGAGAACTAAATTATCAAAAGAACTAGGATTTCTAGCTCTGACATTCATCTGCTATTTTTCTAGGCTCTAAAATGTCTATTTTTTTCCAAATTGGAAATGTTCTACAATGTTAAGAGAGATGTTAGTTCAAATACGTGTTTCATATTTCCATAATGGCTACTATGGCAAATGCCAAATACTTTTTAGAATATTTTAGAGCAATGTCTACCAAATTGAGTTTCAGGATTCAATCAAAAACAGTTCCAGGATGGGGAGTGACTGCTTAATGGGTTTCTCTTAGGGTCATAAAAAAATTTCTGGAAGTGGATATGATGATCATTGCCTAATACTATGAATGTATCTAAAAATGGTTAAAATGGTCAATTTTATAGTATGTGTACTTTAGCCACAATAAGCAAAAAAAGGTTCCAGAGTCGTCTGGGAAACACTAACTACATTATCTCTTCCAATGTCCAAAATAGCAATTTACATATTAAAAACTCTAACAAGAAGCCCTGCAGTATAGAAAACTGGAAGTCAGTACTCCCCCAACTTTTAGATAACTGTTAAGTCTGAGACACACTGTCGTTTGAAAGTCTCCGACACAGGAGTGAATCTCCGTAACGTGTGTGCACAGCTGATGTGTGTGCACAGCTGATGTGGCAGTATTCTCTGTGTCCCAAGTAACTCTTCTTAGAACCTACTTTTTGGAGGACTTTGTTTACTCTTGTGTAGTCAGGCCTAGAGCTGAAACGCTGCCCTAAATCCAAGTTTGCCTTTTCCCCCTCCAGACGCGAAACATAAAGCTTGGTCAGGCATACCCCATCAGGGATGCTGAGCCTGCAAACTTGTCTTTCAGAAATTCTCCTTAAAATAGTTAACCCATCACTTCCTTAAACTCAGAATAGGCTCCTTAAATCACTTCAGTACATTAATCCTGAAAGTCTCCAAGTCTGTAATTTTAGAATCTTAAAATATTAAGAATGAAAGTTGAAAGAATAAAACAAACAAAAACAGCCCACCAACAAACCTATCCCTTATCGAGGTCAGAGTTACAGAGCAAGTCTCTTCTGAGTTCCCCTCGGCTGTGACAGACAAAGACTAGCAAGGCCGTCCATTCTCCTAACTCAGGAACGAGTTGCTCATACTAGTCTAATGCTAGCAATATCACTAATTTGGCAATTGTGAGAACAAAGAACCCCAGATTCCAGGAGCCAAATGGGTACGGTGCATTTTCTGACACTAAAGGTGTCCTCGATCTCAATTCACAATGACAACTTCCAGTCTATGAATGTGGCTTCATGTCTCCCAGGGGCAAAAGTGAAATCAGAATTTTCCAACTAAGTGGCAAGACCGTTAGTTGTGGATTCTGACTGATGGTAGAATGTATTAATGAGTGTTGTTTTAAATAAATCTAAAACTTGTTTTATTTCCCCTAATACAAAATGTCTGTTTGTATACTCTGTATACTCTAGAATTATTCCCTCTCTCATGTCACATGAATAGCTCTAAAAACATTAATACTTCACCCTGGACACTGAATCCAGTAACAAAACATACAAGCTTGGATTAAAATAAAACTTTTTGAATGTCCAAAAATTCAAGCGCACCCACCACTCTCCCCTTTAAAAACCCTCATCATCCAAAGTGACTTTGGTAGAAGCATTAGAAAATTTCAGTCAACATCAAAAAGAAAATGACATAGATACCTGATCAAAACAAACAGAAAACCACTTCACCCAATCTTACGCCTGCTTTGTGGTTGCTTAAAGGTGTGTTAAAAAAAAACTCTACCCTTTGTGCTTTGAATATAAGTAGTCTTTAACAAGTGGTACTGTTTTTTTTTCAAGCTCTTACCATTTCAATCCAGCAAGATTTACTATGCTGTCTAAACAGGAATATCAACAAATCACCCATCTAACTTTTAATACCAACATGATATCAAATAAATATCACTACACTGTCCTCTACTCTACACTCACCCTGCGATACCAGGTTCTAAATCCTCTGGAAATACAAAAACACTTTTGAATTTTCCCTGACACCTATTTTGCATTTAAGGGTACTTTTCACCCCAACTCCTGGGCACGTCTCCCTATGTCCATACTTTCAACAAAAAATCAGAATCTCAGGGATAAGCACCTTGAAGTCTAGTTTCAAGCACTGCTTCCTGTCCCTTCGAGTCTTAACTAAAGTTCCAGAGGCCTGGAATAAGCAGCTGGAGCTATTCTAGGACATGTACTACTTGGCTGTTTGATTCATTAACCTACCCTGGTTTGGTAGAAACTGTGTCAAGCTTCCTTCCGTGAAAGTATTCACTCAGTCACTTTAATAAGGAATATGAACAGTAATCTGACTTAAGTTTTTCAAAATTATATTTCTATCCTTCCCATGCCCTTTAAATCAGTGAAATGTAGGGTTAGGAAAAGAGGCAGCAACTTTAAAGCCCCTGTGCTTGTTTCTGGAGAGAAGGGATCCTACAAAAACAGTGTAAGTTCACGTGCTTCTGAAAAAGACAGGGTCCAAGATACACACCTGTTTCATCCTTGCCGCAGCTCTGTTTGAAAACAGAACAGACCGGTCTTTCTGGAAGCAGGAGGGACATATCTGAAGGCCTCGAGTATAAGAACTTTCGGCTTCTATGTAATCTGAGGATAAGGGAAAATATAAGAAGTTGTTATGATTTTATTTCTGATATCACTGTATTCCAAATGACCTCAGAATGTATAGTTTTCCATTCTATACATTCACCCTTTCACTTGGCTTATCAATTTAGTAGAGTTTTGAAAGGGGATTAGGAAATTGGACAGATGAAAGAGACTAAAATCTGAAATTAACAGCCCAGGATGAAGAAAACAATTCTATATACATATTTTTCATTAAAGATATTGTGCTTTCATGGGGTCAACCTGGCTAAAAATGCTTCCATGAAATGTTTGGAGAGACATTTTATAGAGCTAAAAGCAACTATGTTAAAAACCAGTAGTTGACCAAACACCTTAGAGAGAAAATGGTAATAAACTCATATATTCACTGCTACATACAGAATTATAGTTAGGATACTAAAAGATAATTGCCTAGCCACTCCCTTCTCAGGTTTGAAATATTTAATACTAAAATATAAAGAGATAAAACTAAAAAAAATATATAAAGAGATAAAACTTTCAGAGAACCTTTAGTTCTTTTAGAAAAAAGAAGTGATAACTGATACATCAGGATATATGAAAAAAAATTTTTTTTAAACCTAAAAATAACAAAGGGAAGATGTTACTACTCCTAGATATCCAAAGCATACATACTCCGAGATGTGATAAATTTGATAAGATCAAACAGTTCTCCCAAATTATAAAAATGAACCTCAATTATCCCTAAGCAAATACAAGAAATGCAGAAGGACCATCTCTCTAGTTAAGGCATCTACAGAAAAAGGAACTTGAAAGAGCAACTGAAGTGTAAGCAAAACTCTTCTCTAGGAAGCACAGGACGCACTGGGCCAGTATTCACAGCATTGTCACAAAGCGAGGAACTGAGACCCTCTTTTTACAGCAATGCAACAAATAGCCTTTTAACATTCCAGATTAGAGTTTCCCAAAGCAAAAACTCAAAGAGCTTTGTTCTTCAATATCATTAGCAGTTCAGAGCTGCTAGCTGTTTCCATTCTTCAGTGTTTCTTCACAGATTCTACAAAAGAATGAGGAGTCAAGACAGCCAGCATCAGTGCCAAAAAGCACATCTTACCTCCCTTCTTAAAGTGCTCATTTCCCTCCTCCTTTAGTCTAGAGCTCTCTTCTCTCCTTCTCTGAAAAAGATCAGAGAATGACATAAACACAGTATTATGATAAGTGAACAGAAAGGCCAGCTTTCATTACACATTAGGCTATTCAATGAGCAGCAGCTTGACTTTTGAGAATTGGGTCAGTTTTATCTAAATCTCAAATACACAGAACAAAAACACATGACCATCTGGCTAAATATCAAGTGACTTCTTGACACTAAAAAGATAAAACCCAGGTTTTCTCTGTTTCCGGCTTTTGCATGGAACAGTAATTTCCATTTACTAAAAATGAAACTAATATACCCACTGGTATTCTTACCTTTATAAATTAAAATTCTAGATCTGCTACTTATTAACTGTAGATGATCTTGGACAAGTTTCAGATCTTTCTGGGCGTTAATTTCTTCATCTAAAAATTAGGGCTGTAATAGATTTATGGGTTAATGTGATAATGTATGTAAACCTTCCAATACGCTGGTGAATAAGGGTTCAAAAATTAGCTATTACTTTTCTGTAAAATAAATAATGCAATACTCATTTAGCTACAACTGCACTCTGTGTCATGAAGCAGACACACAGAGGCTGGCAGAGAGCACTATGGGGATGAGTCTTATTTGCAGGGTCAGGCAGCATGGTGTTAGCAGGCTGACACAGGGAAACTTGAAGAAACGGAGAGAAATCTCTTTTCTTAGCCTCTTCTATCAACAGAAATTCACACAGATGGCAGAGCACTCATGGGACTCAAAGGCACAGTGAAATGTTAGTCTGTGGAGCAAAAAAGACACTTGCCGAGTCCCGTGTGCTCTCAGCCCTGAACACCTCAGCAAGCTGACTGGCATAAGCAGAGCAGGCATGCCACCTTGGACAGCATTAAAAAAAAAAGAATCTCCAAAAATCTCTTCCTTCATTCTTGAAGTTTCTGACTCAATAAAAACTTCAATGGGAGGAAACAAAATTAGCAGACTTTTTCACCTACAGTACAAGCTGACATCCTAAACAACTGGTACTCTAAAGATTAGGAACCAAATTAAAAAAATATAATGTTTCTGGAGAAGATCTGTAAATGAGCTGCTGAGATCTGGGTGCTTTCCAAATACCTTATTACTATGCTCTGGAAAAAACAGAACACCCGACGAATCTCAATGAAGAAACTAAGAAGTAGGTATAAACAGAATATAATTTTTACAACATCTATTATAGGCCAGATGTTCAGCAGACAGTAATAATTCATTTTAGGATATAACATATCTGAAGAAGGCCTATTCCAAGGGAATACAGGAAAAAATAAGATGGGTAGTGGTGATGATAATCAAAATACAAAAATGTGGCCACATTGACCTACTACCACCCAGAGGAAGGTGCCTGATCTGTAATATCCCCTATCGAACTGGTTAGGATTTTGTTGTTGTTTGGTCACTAAGTCATGTCTGACTCTTTTGCAAACCCATGGACAGTAGCCCGCCAGTAGCCTCCTCTGTCCATGGGATTGCCCAGGCAAGGATAATGGAGTGGGTTGCCACTTTCTCCTCCAGGAAATCTTCCGATCCACGGCTCAAACTCATGTTTCCCTGTATTGGCAGGCAGATTCTTTACCACTGAGCCACTTGGGAAGTCTAGTTAGGATTTCTGGAGGCAAGCAAAAGGACTATCTATCTCAGGCCCAAAAAAAAAAAAAATTTTTTTTTAAGGGCATATGTTTACTGGAAAGCTACTGTGGGGCTCACATGATCACAGGGAGGCCTAAAATATGGAAATATAAAACAGACAGGACTCAAGGAAACTCTGAAGTAAAAAAGCTAAAAAATATTGATGTGTCTTCCAGGAGAAGAGTCTCACTGAGATAGGGTTGTAGTAACAGCCAACAGACCCTAACCATTCCCCTTTCTTTGTCCTAATTTAGATTTAAAGTTTCGGTCAGAAGTATCCAATGAGCCAAGCATAGTCACATGCCTTGGCTGTCAAGAAAACAGTGAAGAACACGGCGCGGGCGGGGGGACGACTGACCAGCACTCAACAAGGGGAATTTCCTCCACATAAGAAAGGGAATTCTATGCTGGAAGCAAAAAAAACCCCATAACGAATCCAGTTAAAAGTTATTTCAACCCCAAATAGACAAAGTGACCTGGAGAAACAAAGCTGGAGGCATCATGCTCCCTGATTTCAATCTGTACTTACAAAGTTACAGTAATAAAAAAATAGTATGGTATTGGCATAAAAACAGACACACTGATCAGTGAAACAGAACAGAGAGACCAGGAACAAACCCACACACATACGGCCAATTAATTTATGATAAAGGAGCCGCTAGTATATAATGGGGAAAGGACAGTCTCTTCAGTAGGTGGTGCTGGGAAAACTGGACAGCCACATGCAAAAGAATGAAAACAAACCACTGTGTTATACCACACGCAAAAGTTAACTCAAAATGGATTAAAGGCTTGAATGTAAGACCTGAAACCATAATACTCCTAGAAGAAAACAAAGGTGGTAAGCTCCTTGAAGTAAGTCTTGGTGATGATTTTCTGAATCTGACGCCAAAAGCAAAAATAACCAAGTGGGACCACATCAGACTAAAGAGCTTCTGCACAGGAAAGGAAACCATCAACAAAACGAATGGAAGAAAAGTTATAAATCATATACTTGCTAAGGGGGTAATACCTAAAATACATAAAGAACTCATATAACTTAAAAGCAAAAACTCCCCAATCTTATTAAAAAGTGGGTCACGACCTGAATGGACATTCTCCCAAAGAAGACATACATGGTGAGGATGAAAAGATGTTCAACATCATTAATCAGCAGGGAAATGCAAATCAAAACTACAATGAGATATTATTTCATGCCTGTTAGAATAGATATTATCAAAAGACAAGAAATAACCAGTGTTGGCAAGAACGTGGATAAAAGAAAACCCTTGTGCACTGTTGGTAGGAATGTAAATTGTGAAGCCACTATGGAAAACAGTACGGACATTTCTTAAAAACTTAAAAATAGAACTACCATATGATTCAGCAATTCCACTTTTGGGTGTTTATCTGAAGAAAATGAAAGTACTAACTCAAAAAGACAGCTGCATCCCTATGTTCAACTGCAACATTATAGACAATAGCCAAGATATGGAAACAACTGAAATGGCCATCAGTGAACAAATGGATAGGGAATTCCCTGGCTGCCCAGTGGTTAAGAATCCGCCAGCCAACCCAGGGGACACAGGTTCAATCCTTGGACCAGGAAGATCCCATACACCACAGAGCAACTAAGTTCACGTGCTGCAACTACAAGGGGCGGGCCCACGTGCCTACATCCCATGCTCTGCAACAAGGGAAGCCACTGCAACGAGAAGCCCACCCACTACAGCAAAGGGCAGCCCCTGCTCACAACAATGGGAGGAAGCCTGCGCATGGCAAAGACGACATAACACAGCCAAAACAGAAGAAACATACCTCAAAAAAAGAAAAAAAGGACAGATGGATAAACTGTGGTTATACACACACAAAGGAGTATTATTTAGCCATAAAAAGAATGACATCTTGGTGGGGGGTAAAAATGACAACTTGCTATCTGCCACAACATGGATATACCTTGAGGGCATTATGCTAAGTGAAATAAATCAGAGAAAGACAAGCACCATAGGGTCTCTCTTATATGCAGAATCTAAACAAATTACAAAAAACACCAAGCTCACAGGTTTGGGCAGGAGGTTATGTGGAGAAATGGGTGGAAAAAAAACACTTAAAAATTCTAAAATAATTTCAATTAGGGTAAAATGAAAACCCTATAAATAGTAGTGACTTCATTCAATCAATATTAAATTCACACAAACAACCATATATCACTGGCTAATAAAGTTCTAACAGTGAAATGAAAAAAAGGTTTCACATTAGAAAATATATTAATGCAGGGTAGCATGTTAATGAGTTAAGAGAAAATTACAGGATCACATGAATAAATGCATCACAGGTCTTTAAGGCCTGTAATATATTTTTTTAAAACAGTACTATCAAAAATAAAAATTCTTCAGGGAAGGGCAGCTCATCAAGTTATTAAGAGTTCAATGTCCATCCATTAACAATTTCAATCTCTCTAATTTTAAGCTACTTTCTGATCTATAATCTGTTTTCCAATGCCAACTTAGCAGGAATGTTCTATGAACACAGGTCAGTCATTCAGACTGAAAGATCAGGCTCTCGTGAAGAGTGTGTTTTAAGAGTTTAATCATTACTTGGTAAATTTAGAACATTAATATTCCAACGAGAAAAGCCTAGATCCAAAGTACACCGAGAAGCATTACTGACAGGGGCCAGCCTGAGAGAAGTTCACAGTGTTGTTACAGCTAGGCCTAAAAGTTGAACTGGCCAAGAGGCTCTGGGACATACTTCAGAGGCCAATTATTCTACGGAAGGCATTTTATTTTTTTGGTCTGATAAATCACAACTCAGTGACCCATTAAGTAATAAACACTGGAAAAGAGCTGTTGCTTTCACAGACTGTGTTAAATTGAGGATTAATGCAATTATCAATATCATGCTGAATATCTCCTTGGCAACAGCTAAAAATAGCACTTTGAAAAGAAAGCTGCACTGTCTCCCGGCTGTGCCAGGAGACTAACTTGATCCCAGTACAAAGACTAGGATTTATTCTGCCGCCGGAACACATTCTTTAACCAAAGGATGGCATGCACACTGTGTAATGCTATGGAATCCAAGGATAGATTCCATAGTGCATAAGTCTTACTCAGCCTGCTAAGTGCCAAGAGCATTCACACATAAGTGAACTGGTAGGGCTGGTATCCTGCGGCATTACTGGGTACAAATCTTCCAGGTTCTGGTCTAGTGTGGTTAGGGGTCCTCTCACATGCCTCCACATTCTGGGGAGGCCTCATGGGGTAACATCTGTTCTAGAATTTTATTTCCTTAAGAATGGGAACCAAAGAAATTTTACAGGGCTCTAAACTCAGTCCATCCTAAACCAGTCCATCCTAAAGGAGATCAGTCCTGGGTGTTCATTGGAAGGACTGATGCTGA